GTACAGCTATGGGAACACCAGCAGGGCTGAACGTCCATAGATACTGTCGTCGATTATTTAGGTTGATAGTTAGCTGTCGTCTACCGTAGGTAGGAATGACAGAGCCATTCGCAGCGCGTGGTCGAAGTATCGTAGCTTTTGACTTGCTGCTACCAAATGATACGACAGAAACTTAGGCACTTGTGGCCACCAAGTACCTAGCGTTAGTGCAAAAATCGGGCACGTAAAATAAACTAACAACCTGAAGTGACGGGGAGGAGACAGGTGAAAATGCAATGACCTGTACCTCGGAGTCTATTATTATATCTATCTACCATTTCGAAACGTTGTTGCAAGTATAATATATATTAAAGACATTAGTATTGGTGATAGATGAATAATAGACTCACCGTAATCGACTTCTTTTGAATAAACGTCGGCTCACTAATCTTAGTGAGCGAGTCAGATTGACTATGATCACAACTAAATGTCCCATAATAACCCGTCAATAAAATCAAAATAAATCCATGTTTGAGTATTTTATTGAAGGAGAACGTTGGCATTACATGGGGAACAGGGCATTTAGAAAAATGGCAGCAACGCGAAGAGAACGTTGCGCGCAAGGAGTCGAAGAAGTGTTTTTGGTACAGTTAAACAAAACGAGAACAATAATGTTTATTTTTTCATAAATCGTATTTTCGTAGAAGCGTTCCACTTCAAGCTAACCGGGCTTGATCATAACGAAGGACCGAAAAGATGATCACGAAGTAGGTGATACGAAAGGTGTCGATCACACTATATGCTGGCATCACCAGACATATATCAACCGAGCTACGGAATGTAGAGTTCCATGCAGATTTAAAATTAATACAACGGTGAAACGATTTCATCGGTTTTCCGTAACGCCTGTGACAACTGGCGTAGCCCCTGAAAGCAGTCATTTATTTTACACCCAGGACCGAACGACGGGTGCTAAATTCTTATTCGAGACGGGAGCATTGATTTAGCGTTTTGCCTCCCGTCAGCTTTGAAAGACGAAATATAAATACCATGCTAGCGCTCAAAGAAGCAAATGAATCCTACATAAAGACATACGCGAAGCGAAAAATAAAATGTAATTTCGCTCGAAATATTTCATTTTGCTGGGGATTCATCATAGCAGATGCATCCGTGCCTCTATAATTGGCACTGACTTATTAAAGAATTTCGACTTATCGGTAGAATCCCGACGAAATCGGCTCTTGAACGGAGACAGTTCAGTGGTGATAAAAGGAATAATCAATGAATACGTTTCTGTGAATTTAGTGGTATCAAAAGACCATAATAACGAAATAGCCGATGCATTATCAAGAACTATGTTCAACGCTCTCATCTAATCAGACATCGATTATCACAAACTATCAGCATTGCAAAACGTGGATGTTGAGCTAAGCAGACTAAGATGAAACAGCACAACCTGCTGAGTACTCAAAGTAACTCGATACAAAAAAGTAAGCATCATGTGCGATACTTCTGCAAGCCGACCACGATCGTTTATTCCGAGGCGACTAAGATGAAAAGTTTTCGAAACTATGCATAACATATCTCATTCCTCTTCTAATTTTTTCCATTTAAAATTAATTTATCTTCATAAAATAGTGATCGACTTTATAAAATCGACATATGAATTATCTCAACAGTATTTCTTAACTTTTCAATCACTAAGTTCATATTTACTTCATTGTGAAATATGTAACTATAATGTTCCATGAAATCGACAATTATTCATTGTTCTCATTGGATGCTGTAATAATCATAAAAGAACTTTATCAGCTTGTAGTGACTCTACTTTTACGAAAACACGACTGGTTGGACTATGACCAATTGTACCAGTATTTATTCTACTGAACTTCTTGTTTATTTGTATTTCAGTACATACACTTTCTTGTTACTTGGTTGCCATCCTGCTTATGGCACTCTATTTATCTTCGCCCATGTTCTCTGGCACGATTTCGTTATTCGTTCGATAACACGACACCACCAACAAATATAATTCTTCATCTAGACTATCTCTTCCCTGTTTTTGGTTAATGACAGGACAACGCGTTAAGACTAGAAGGTAATTGGTTTGTAGTGGTGTTCATAGTCAATTCCGACTCGACCAACTACCAGCTAAATGTTCGACATTTCGTGCGACCGACCATAGCAGGAATATTCAAAAGTTTCATAATACTGAATAATGTTTTGCGATTACCGTATAGTTTACTGTTTCGAGTAATATTTCGATATTTCCGAGGTAAGCTTGAGATTATACATTTTGATGACTGTATTTTATTGTAGTTACAATATTGGTATTCTGTGTATCATTTAGTGTACCAGTTATCTTGTTCACAGGTTCGAAGACAAGCTTGATCTCTGATGTTTCAATCCTTCAGTATAGATAAGATGTGATATTTTGAATATAATTTCACTAAAAGAGCTCATAATTAAATCTGTTTAATATAAAGTATTTATAATTCAGGTACACATCAAAGAAAAAAGTGATGAGGAATTCAGATTAGAAATTGAGGGAACACAAAGAATGGATAAGAATGGTTTAGATCCATGTCATTCAAGGTCTCTAACCATCGATTACTGTCATTTCGCGGACCACAATCAGGTAGTCGACACGATTCAGTCAACTTGTTAATGACTTCATGGATTCGTTAGAGGTTTTACATCAATTCGCCGTTTACGTTGACAGGAGATCGTGGGGAACGGCGAGTCTCCCTATCTCTCTAAGTCCTTACTGTTCCGTTTAGTTGGACAACACACAAGCAACCATCTACTGGGATCCAGTCCGAAAGAGCTAGTTCTGCTGTACTTACACCAGCCTTGTCACGGGAAGCAGCAACAGAGCTCTCAGACACACAGAGCGTAAACTGAGTCGGTCCCTTATCTAGACAAGGTGAAGTCAAATTAGTGACTCTACTAGTAACCTTAATGCGCGTTTCGGAGAAGCAGCATACATCAATGGCACGAGATACTGCAGTCTTAGATAAGCAAGCCTGTTTTCCTATTTGGTGTAAGGTTCGAACATTAAAAGCTCCTATATGAAGTTTAGAACGGGGCTTTCGGTAACTAAGAATAACTTCTCGTGAGCTCAAATCGTTTGCTTCAACGACGCAGTGACAAAGGAAGGGTTGGCCGTGAAGATAAGACAGTTATTAGGTGCAGAATGGATTTGACCTCATGTACTTTTACGAATATAAGGGCGGATGTCACTTCCCGGCTACCCACACAGTGGAAGGGCTGTATATGTTAGAAGAGGCATCGGCCTCTCGACTTCCGAATGAATTCGGCTTCCACCATAAGACGTCATAACTTTTCTAAATGAAGACCTAACTCCTAGGGCAGAGTTAAAATGGTTTAAATTATTTTTCCTCCTTATCGTTTTGTTAGCGAGTGTGTTTTCCGGGATGGGGTCACCAGCCCACCTCCTTTATCCGGGAGGTATTTTTATCAGATATTTATTATCATACTTCTTGATCTACTTGGACTTATAAAAAACTTAGTGTTCCTGTTTTCTTCCATTTGGCCAGCTTACAGAATTATGACTGCTTGTGTAAAAATGTCATGAACGTTTTTATTATGAACAGTCAGCTACTCCAGACCAACTGAATGTGTATATGGATTCACACATAATTCAACTATTTTAGATAAGGTTTTTCTTCATAGAATATGACGCAGATATTGATATTTCTCATTTCAATTAGACTTCATTTACCAAAATGATCTACTTTAGGTTATCTTGTTTTAAAACTCAAGTAATTGATCTCTGAGAAATGACTAATATATGTGTAGTTATATTTATAGTTGATCGTATTCTATTGACTATGTAATGTGGCCACCGTTCTTAGTGATTCGACACTGCCTGCGCTATGTTGTAATACTAGCTGATTGGAGGTAGTTGACAGCATTTTCTGCGGAAAGTACAACTTTGTATAAGTTATAGGTCTTACATAAAAATCCACGTGAACATTTCTCCATCAGCTTGTCTAACGCACATAAACCATAGTTCGCGTTATCTTTCTCTACCAACATTATCTCAGAGCCATACATACTCAACCCAACCGAAAATAAGATATTTCAACAGTATTATTGGCCAGAAAGGTTGTATCAACTCTGAGTTTATTATTCTGTGCAATCAACAAATATATGAGTAAAACTCCTTCTTTTTACATATCTGAATTCCTCTTCAAAGGAAAAGTCTGTGCATACGGATATGAAAGAAATCTTTTGTTTATACACATCAAATGAGATTCACAGCCGTTATGTAAACTTCAGGTCTGGATATTACCCAACACAACATCAACAAAAAAGGTTTTATAAAAATTTAAATAAACTGGCAAATTTTCACAAACAGTGAACAATATTGCTAAAATAAAAATCAATAGGTAAGCTGTTACGAAAAAAAGACTATTTCAAAAGGAAGAAAGACTGGGACTGACGATGTAAACAATAAACCAAACACTTGTGAATTACAAACAACTATCTCAAGGTAACAAGCTTATCTATTTTAGGCTAATCATAGGAATGTGCAACATGTAGGCAGGTGCGTAAATGTGTACGCATGTAGGTATGTGTGTGTGTGTGTGGGTATGAGTACGTATGTGCCTGCACACGCATAAATGTCACTGTAATACAATATTACGAGAAAAAAAACATTGGAGTCAATCATAGAAAGATTAGTAAAACTAACAAAATCAAGTGGACCGAATTCATACAAATAAATAAATAAAAGTAAAAAAACAAAAAACAAAAACGCAGTTGACAGACACAATACTACTATCCAAAAAAAAATAACAGTAGCATGAAGAGTGATAATTGGTTAAATAACTTGAAAGGAAAGACCAATCATTTTACAAAGGTTTATAAATTTTTTAGGAGCAATACACAAAGCAAGTGTAAACCATAAGAACTAATCCATTTTTCCCAAAGAAAAATGTCTGATAAATATTTTTGGGATATCATTTAAAAGTGGGCATTAAATTGGTTTTTGGTTATTTAATGAAAATAGATTCATAATGTGTAATTAATATTTGTGTGAATGCATTAATCACACCAATTGCAGTCAATGAAGCTTGATTTCGTGACCAAACTAAACTGGGCCCGAATACAACAGCTAAATTGGCTGCATTCATCTTATTTTGCTGAGAATAAGTGGTGACCTGAAATAATGAACATAAAAAATGAAGTAAATGTGAGAGTATATATATATATATATACCATTCAATGTTTGTCACTGAAAACAGATAATGATATGTCTACTGATCACGGTAAGGCTAGAACGGATCTCTACCTTAATGACAGATATCAATGGTATGTTTAGCTGAGCGATGATAAGTCAAGGTGGGACCGATGATTGTCGATTCAATCAATAATTAACAACACTACGTTTTGACTAATACTATCTGCTCTAATGCAGTCACGAGTTTAAGTGATATTTAAACATTGGATTAATAATTAGTTCAAGAAAAGAAAATTTACTGAAAAATTCGACTTAGATTCTGACATTTTCTGTTGTGTATTCGTTTCAGTGTGAACTTTGTTTTGTAAGGTATATTCATCAAAGTCTCGATTAGTTAAATCTAATTAACAATCACGGCAAACAAATTGTGTTTTTGTGAAATTGTACCAAACTATATTGTTTTCTACTTAGATTACTAGTGTTGTTCACATTTTTTTTTATTTCGTTTGTGAAATTGATGCGTTTTCTTTTTGAAAGATTAACAGCATAGAAAATATTGGATTGAATCGAATTTATTCTCACATTACTATTTCTATAAAACATTTAAGTGTCAGTACAACTGAGCCGCAGAATACGTATATATGCGTGTCACACAAATAGAGAGGTGGAATCGGAGAACAGATAAACAGGTCTAATTAAAATGAAATAAGGAAATTAATAAAAATAATAAGTACGGATAGTATGTAATCGAAGGAACAATCGTAAAGATAACTCCTTTATAGTCAAGTGAATTTCTATTGTTTTTATGAAAAATGTAAAGGAAAATTACAATACAACAGTTCACGGTTTCTATTCTGAGACGTGTCTGGTAACATTCGGGAATAGTGAGTTGGCAACATTTTCGGAACAGCGACCACAGAGTTGTGATGGTAAAACAGAAGCCAGCTTTCTTTCAACTAGTGGAAATGTCATAAACTAACTTCCTTTTCGCTACTCACACTCAGTTTCTAGGTTGGCAAATAATGGACGATGTGGAAGTAACTGGGATGACATTCATAACACACTGAAGTCACCCAAGTCAATGTTTCAAGACGGTGACACTGACTGAATTGCCACGACTCCGCACAAACACACACATTGTCGAATCACAACGTTACTAACATGGTACTACCTCAACTCAGAGATGGCAGGTTTCACAAGCATAGAAAGAAAATGAATTGAATCCGCTGACTATCAAAGTTTATAATGAATTATTACGCTTAACAATAAAACAGTTAAATATGATTTTCGATCAATAACCATAAGGTATCGAATCATTTATAATATTTCACAAGAAACGTCTAACATACAAACATACATACATGTAAAAAATCGACTAACCTCTGTTAAAAATCTTATTAGGAAATTTAATATTTCATAATTATCATCAGGTAACTTCATAAGAATTAATTCTTTAGCCAATTTAACTTTTGCTTTGGCACCTAGACCTTCAACAATTTCAATGAAAAGGGAGTGAGAAAGCAAAAAAGGACAAAATACGTGTCTATTTTATGCAACAAGAAAGAAAAAAAAGTAGATTTGATAAATTCATAATGATACTGGCAATAATAATAATAATAATAATAATAATAATGTTTTAATTCTGATTGCTTACGCAGCTTTTATAGCCAGCCCTATGTACTCTTGTTTTGTGCTTTGCACTATATTACTTGGTAATAGTCGTGTAACTAATACATTTTGTTAATTATTTTTTGGAGATGTTGCTTATGCAATCTGATTTGTTGTAAAACGGGCAATTTTTTCAGTGTTCATATGTGTTTACAACATTAAATTTATTATATTAGTGTAGTTATGTTGCTTTTTCTCAACATACATAAAGGAAAAAGCAAAATCCTCCGATGCAACACAACATCCACCAACCAAATCACGCTTGATGGAGAAGCTTTCGAGGACGTTAACATCTTTACATATCTTGGCACCATCATCGACGAGAAAGGTGGATCGGATGCAGAGGTGAGGGCGCGGATTGGTAAAGCAAGGGGCGCATTTCTACAGTTGAAAAATATCTGGAACTCCAAACAAATATCAACCAAAACTAAAATCAGGATTTTCAATACAAATGTCAAGACAGTTCTACTGTATGGAGCGGAAACATGGAGAACTACCAAAGCCATCATCCAGAAGATACAAGTGTTTATTAAAAGGTGTCTACGCAAAATACTTCGGATTCGTTGGCCAGACACCATCAGCAACAACGTACTGTGGGAGAGAACAAACCAGATTCCAGTGGAGGAGGAAATCAGGAAGAAGCGGTGGAAGTGGATAGGACACATTACGAAAAGCACCTAACTGCGTCATGAGACAAGCCCTCACATGGAACCCTCAAGGCAAAAGGAAAAGAGGAAGGCCAAGGAACACATTACGCTGAGAAATAGAGAAAGATATGAGAGGGATGAACAAACATTGGACAGAACTGGAGAGGGAACTGGTGGGCGGCCTATGCTCCATTCGGGGTAACAGGCGTAAGTAAGTAAGTAAGTAAGTATTAGTGTAGTTGTCATATACCTAAGACATTTCTAATAGTTTATACTTGCCTATTTGTAAAAACTTCCATATTCACTTTTAAGATAGTTCTCATTTCAGTTTACTGTATGACATTGACCTGATTAAGTATAACACAGCTACACTTAATGCTCTTCCATTTATCGACATAATTCCTATTTGACTATGGTGCTAAAAATAAAAAAATTGTATGTTTGAGAAATCTTTTCCTTTTTCACATTAAAAATGGGTATTATTCACAGGTGGATTACCCCGTAACACCGTAATTCAACAATAGTCAGTTATATTAGTTAATTAGTTTTGCATAAGAAAAAGAAAATCAAAATCACAAAATAACTTACCACTGGTACTTAATATTTCATCGTACAATTCAAATGTTAATAATGGTTCAGTGAGTTCGCGTAAAAATGATTTCAATAAAACAGCCGCTAAATGAGGATCATTATAATCTCGTAGATCGACAGTTTCACCTGGGTTTTTTTTTATTAAAAAACAACACAAATACATACACAGTATGTATGGTAGACCGAATCGAATAATCAATAACATGCAGTGTAAATAATGCAATCTTTGAAGATAAAAAAAACACAATGAAAATTCCTCAGACAAGCAACATCTATTTTTACTTATTATATTATATTGATTTTACTAACATTCCGACGATTAGTTAAAAAAAGAAATATGCACAGATCATCGAAGTATGTAGAATAGATCTTACACAGAACTAATACAAACACAAACTATACGACGACGCAGCATGTTGTGTGCACATTAGAAATAAGGTAAACATTATACTGAACAGTAATTAGATCTGTCCTAAAAAGAATACTATTCCAATTAGTACACATTGTAAATGATTATTTTAGTGTTATATCATTGACTTAAAAAAAAAACACATCAATCATAAAAATTCTTCTCACACAGAAAAAAAGGAATGCTATCGAGAGTTTTGTGAGATTTCACTGTTATAGAAGAAATAACAACTAATTTTTTTTTTCATACTCATATAACAACAAACAATACTATCACAATAGTCCACATTATTTCTACTTTTATCTATGTGTGTGTGAAACTCAACAAGAACTTTGAGAATCCTTTACATATTTCTATACAAGTAAACAACATTGTCTTAAATATAACATATACTGTTATTGTGTACTAGAAATTCTTATTCATATTTTTCAGCTAACTGAATAAAAAAAAAACAGAGAGCTCTTACCATTGTTGTATAAATTTTGTACATCTCGTAATCGTTTTAAACTGACAGATCGACGAAAAATGCCTTCAGTAGTTAAACCTAAGAAAGTTAACACATAGAAGGAGAGAGAGAAAGAGAAAAAATAATAAAAGAGGCGCTAGTTGACACTAGGCAACAAGACAAATATACCAGCAATACTGAATCGATAGATACTTCCTTTTTGATCGCTAAACTATTCAGATACAAACTGATGATGTGCTATGAAAACGGAAATATTTAATAATTGACAGATAGTTGAGCAGTGGTCAATATCATATTTATCTGATTGTTTAGTGCTATTCAAATGCTACAAGTCACTTTGACAAGAACAATAGAAGTGCAATCAATTGAATTTAATTGTGTAGTCCAGTGAAATTCCTGCGACTTAAAGAATCATATACTGAACTTTTATAAAATAATTTGATATGGAATATTGACAGTATTAATGAGCAACTAAATTAGTAATTAAAATATTGATATTAATGTTATTATTTAGGTTTCATCCATCATTTTACACACATTTACAATAGGTCGTATGCTATTGATGAATGAATTATTGGGTATTTGTTGATCAAGAAATACAGTAGCAGTTTCAAATATTCATTATGTTGAGTTAATCGAAATTAACATTCCTCTAGTCAACTTGAAATTCAATTCGTGATGTAGACTATCATTTCAAAAAGCTACATTACTTAGACATATTGCTGCTCTTTTTTTTCGCTAGCTTATTCGCAGTGAGCAACCAAGGAACTTCTTACACCGAATACACATAGGTTACAAATGAGGTCGTCCGGGGTCACAGCTTGTATTAATTGCTTTCCGATTGACATTTTCTAATAAATACAAACTTACTAACCTGTTTCATTGCACAAATACTCTGCAAGTGAATATCCCTGCGAATCACTCCTGACTTATTAATACCACCGAGAAATTCTTCTAGGTACCTATTCTATCTGTAAAACACCTGTTGAAAACTTCATTGCATCCCATTTATCATGACTTTTGTGTCAGAAATATACTATTATTTATTAGAAGGTATTTAAACAGCAAAAATATAATATACACAAATATTTCATTTTTATTAATGAAAAAAAAATCAAAGTTACACACACACACCACAATCTCGTAGATAATCGATAGCATCTTCAAGGACAATGGGAATAGGACGACCGCCATTATTCATTTTGATGCTACATAAAGAAAAGACAGTAAACAACTGAACTCATAGTTTATATTATGACAGAAAATGCGAGCTTTTCAATATGATATAATAGAATATAGAAAAATAAGTAAGCAAATTATGCATATATTTTCGGAGTTCCAGTAAGCAGTCGTGACCAGCGGAGATAAACTGTTTTCGGTGTGAGGAAGAAATGTAAATAAACACTATGGTATTTTAACATAATTCAACAATTTTCACAATCCCATAATGAAATATATTTAAGTGTTACATACTTACAACTGTAAACTGACATTAAACTGTTGTTGAGGATCTGGAGTAACATCTTTGCATTGTTCTTCATAGACACCGGAGAATACTGAAGCAGCATCCGGTAACGATGGTATACAGGGCACAGATACCCGAGAAGTAGAGCTGAAATAGTATACAATAGCAAGAAATAACGGTTGATATTATACCAATTAGCATGTTATTATATGATTTAGCACATACATATGTGCATGGACTTGCGTCTTAATAAATTACTATAATGTAACTTAATTTACCAAGTAAGCTCATTAATGAGCTTCAATCCTGGTGTGACGGCTAGTAATACTAACCAGTTGCTCAATATGAAGTAGTAGGCGGAAGGTTTGAACCTGTATTATAGTGGCTGAAAGCTAAATTCTTCAATCACTTAATAATCATTATAAGGACGAAGAAAAAGAATGCAATTAAACGATAGCTCAGCGAGTATAGAAATATAATACGACATCTCAAAATCAAACAATGAGACATTATGAACGTAACGCACTATTGAAGTAAGTCGGTCAGGTACCTATTCAAGATCTTAACCTACATGTTCTTCTCTAAGTTAGAGGGACAATCGTATTCATAGTAATAATTTGTGTGCATTACAATTCAAATTTGCTGATTAGACTTTCCTACTCATTTCAGTTTTCCTATTTGCACACTGGGTTTGATGTGTTGTTCGAAGCTAGTGTTATAACTGAATCGAACTACAAGGCACAAAATTTATATTTATTAACAACCAAGTTTTTTACTGTAATCTGCGTGTTAAATCTAAACAAAATAAAACTAGGCTTAAGAACCACAGATATTAAATTGCTGCTACATTGTTAAGTCGTATCATATCAGCCAGGTTAGTTGGAGAACGTTAAGTCATCACAATATAGATATACCGGATCAACACATAAAAGGAGTAGTTATAGTCGAGCTTGCATAAGAAGTTTGAATGAATAGTATTGTGGATTAATGCTTAAAGGACAAACTGTTTAGTTATTGAATACATAAAGATAGTGATTCCTAAATATTTTACTTATTTGACCAATATGGAGAAGTAAATACAACTACGAGAGTATCAGACTTGAAATCATAAATTCTATTGACTATTTTAGGTATTATATGACTGTCTGTTTTGAATTTCAAATTGTTGAAAACTGGTTTTAAGTTTATTTCATCATGAACATTCAAATGTTACAGTACAAAAATATCTCTGTAAGTCTTCAACATTGATGCTAACCTCATAAATCCTACTGGACACATGCTAGCTGAAGGCGCTCGGTCACGCTTTCACATCAGATAACCGTTGGGTACACCGTGCTACGCATCCAACTGCAATAACCAGTCAGCTGAGAGCACTCACTTCTTAACATATCAACTATCCTTCAAATATATCTTTGGTCTCCTTCATTCCTGACTTATGGTTTGACTGGGTTTTGGTATTCTCAATTAGAAAGGTGTTATGAACAAAAACGGTTATCAAACCGTGAATATCACACACAACTACATAAGAATATGGACGATTGTTTCTGACATTAAACTGTGGAGAATGAGGTGACGAAAGCTCTAAATAGTTTTGTACAGGTACATTACGATAAGACAATGTGAGTAGAATGTCATAATTACGGACAATGTATAGTCTGTAAAGCAACATGGAACTTTAACTTAATACATGTCAAAATGAATATATATCTACATTAGAAAACTGATTAATGAACGATAAATGGCTGATGACAAACAATAAAGGCTACCCAAATTATTGATCAGATAGCATAACTTAACTGACGTGCAACTGTGATCATATTCTGTACTTCATTAACACTCTCCCGATAAGATGTTGTTTATTTTCTAAAGGCACTAGGGAAGGGGGATAAACCAACCACAAGTTTATGCCCTTTCGCGTCTGAAGTTCATTAGATGCTGAGAGTTCTGCAGAAAACTACATAAGTTAAGTAGTCATATCATTTGCGTTCAACTTAGATAGAATAAGGTGTAAGTAAGCTTATTATAGTGACTAGAATTGAGAATCTACAACCCTAATAAACATGTTTATTTACTTGAGTAAACGAGAAAACAATTTGAAAATAATTGAAATAAAGTCAAGTAAACATACAATAACTGGTCATCGCTACTACTCGTCACGAATTGTAATAGCCCCACTTTCATCCCCTCGGATTAAAAGACCCCAAGAATGTTCATTTGAAATATTTCACTACTTGGAAATGCATCAATTCGAGTAGATGAACTTTTACAAAAAATGCTTCTTTATGCTTAATTCCCTGTACGATCAATAAAATGTTCTGTCAATGTAATATAATGATTTACAAAATACAACAATAATATCCGTTGTTCAGCGTATATAAGTGATGATATTATTCACCTTAGGATAGGAATGAATTCATTATGAAAAAGTTTTATTATTCATAAGCTAGTTTAAAGCAATGTGAATACTAAATTGATATTACTAATGTTTATTATAATAAGTGTACTTACTCTTTTTGAATTTGTGGTATAGATCGTGGTGGTAGATTTTTGATTATTGTTTTATCATAGCTTTTTTAGTGAATAATGTGTAAAACACAGCAAAATTATCATAATAAATAAATGAAATACAACAGCAACAAAAAAAAAAAGACAAGAGTTACAACGGAAAATTGAATTGGATTTTATGTTAAGATACTACTGATTCAGTGATATTATTCTCATTTAACTTGGACACTTTCATTTACACGGTTATCAATATGAATTGGGCAACATAATAATTGATATGCATATAGATTCTAGTTCTACTTCTTGAATAATATCCTCGAACTTTAATCTCTCCGATTATTGCTCATACTTCCACTACCTCTACTAATATGGGATTCAAAGTGACCATTACATCTCTATGCTAATGTGTTTTGGCAACTTGAACTGATGTACATGCGCACGAATTTCTACGTTGCTGTTGATTGATTGACCTATACACATAGTTTAACTCCAAGTAGACTGTATGAACATGTACATTATTTTATTTTATAGAATAATGAAATATGACTGAAAAGTAAAAACGCAATGAAGACTATATGATCTGTGAAGAAAGTAAGCAGATGACAGTAATACGATAAAATGTAAATATGAATTGTGGCTAGTAGAAATGGGATTCCTGAGGTACATTTTGTCAAAATCTGGATTGGTTAGCCATATATGCTGCCATTCTAGTGTTGACGTTCACATCCAAACTGGAACCCAATAATCTTTAACTTTAAACACACAATGTACACACTCCTCAAAGCATCACATATAAATAAAAATGTTAGCTAGATTCATGGTTTGTGCAGATTGCTTATCTCGTATCTACATTAAGGAATCTCACAAATATTTACTGAATAAAAAGTTTAAGGTTCATAGTGTGAATAACTATGGATTTTGCAGTTTGAAAATTGTTTTATATGGACATATTTCATAAAGTGACATTTGAAATTATTGATGTATGATCTAATGAGGAAGTAAGACATGACTGGTGATTGAGTGTAGACTGATAGATACAGTTAGTTTACAAACTACTTAGCATTTAACTTGTTTTCTCTGATTGATTTCTACTTTGACCTTCACTCAGTGTAGACTGTATTGTCTGGCGTGTACTTCGGTTTGCTATTTTTGATCGCGAATCGCTTCCCAGTAAAATATGATCCAATCGAGTATTCAATTTAGTGGTAACAAGATCTCAGTCACTGGTTGGTTATGTTAGTATATTATATTAGGAGATAATGAAAAATATGGGATTTTTATTCCGTTGATACAACACATTATGTGATAATTGGACAAATATTAAAAAGAAATAAGATAATCTTGGACAACAGATTGAATTTTGTTCTCAACCAAATAGAACTAAGTTTTTTATGTATTCAGAAAATGTTTTCGAACAAGAAGAGTAAATAGTGAGTACAGTTAGGCCTATTTGCTTTACTCCGTAAGTGACAGTGAATAATAGAAAATGTATGGATTATAAACGAACAATAGCAGAAATGTCAATATATATTTTCCGAAAATCAATGAATTGCTTATTACAAGTTTACTTTATTTACTTAGTGCGCATTCACTAGTTATAACTTTAACAAATCATCAACTTTCAATGGATTGAAAGAATGAAGTATGTAAATTTAGTTTTAGAATGTTGATTTCATTTGTCAAAATAAACTACAATTATATTTCAGTTTAAAAATTAGACAGTATAGGAGTTATGATGGAAGTTTATTTTTTTTTAACCTAAATGGTTTAATCGTGAAACTTTTCACTGTTAACAATAACTTGAGACATGTCAATTTTATCAAGGCTGAATAAGTATACATAGACCGTTGAATAGTAACGTTTATATAAGCTTATCGCAAAGATATCAAAATATACATGAATCATATATCGAATATAAAAATGTCGATAAATTTGTCACATAGACTACAATTTTATTAAACTTTCTATTTGTGTGTGTGTGTGTGCGAGATAATGCATCAGTAACAGTAGGAATGCATACTCAATAAATTCTTGCTAGAACTGCAGGAATTCATCTTCAGTGTGGTCACTAATAAGCACATGTTTTTATCTTTTTTAATGAAAGAGATTTGTGGAGACCACATGATTTTAGTTACACATAATTACAAAACATTGTTATTCACATGAAAAAAAACCCCACTCTTACTTTAAAACACGTTGCGGTATCGGCAATTGGTCGACAAATAAAGTTTCTTCTAATTCAGATAATGTTTCAGCATAAAATACTTTATTTGACATTTTGGAACTGGATTGTTTATGTTTGTTTGAAAGGAAAGAAAATACAGGGGAAAAAATTAGAGCTGATCCAATTTAAGCTGTAGTGATAATAACTAAATTATTTTTTTTTCATACAAAATCACTCTAGTGTTAATGTTTATCATATGCGATAGGATTGAGTCTTTACGTTGTTGATGTTAAAGACTGAAATCGATTAACAATCTTTTTTTTTTCTGGGATATGCACATTCTAAGCGAAGTTGGATAGGTAGGTGGCTAGTAGGGGAACAAAAGATGCACATTTCTTCTTGAATCCTAGATTTTATGTTTACTCTCCAATAGGGTAGTTTAGATATGATTATTCATAATAGTAGAAGATTAAATGTACCAGTTTACAAGAATATCATGATTGGCAAGCCTCTGTATCAATGCGAACCCTGAGATCATTCGACAATACAAAAAAGTTTCATCATAGTGTGAGACTCCTCAGTAGTGCGCATCGTCGACCTCACCAAGAATAAAAAATCTGAACATTTAGGTCTTGTATTGAATGCTTAACCATTAAACTACGGTTGGCTATCTAACATTGATTATTCTACAGAAAAAAAATTAACTACGAATTTCATTATTCTTGATAAAATCTCTATTGAAAAAACCCTAGTTTTTTGCCAATATCCGATACAGTCAGAATAATTAAGCACGTAACAAATACATGGGGTATGTATTATTCTAAAATTATAGCATTAAGTGAAATTCCCACATTGGTTCAGGCATCATCGATTGATATCGTTATAAAAATCTAGACAATAATAATGAATAATGACAAGATAAGAAATGTTGAGTTTGGTTGAAGTGCAAATATCATCAACAACAAACTCAACTACACTGGTAAGAGGTTTTCAGTCACATCTATCATCTAGGGTCTACAACACTAGATTCAATAAAACGCCATACAACCAAACCATATATCACACATCACATGGTTCGATTTGATAATCTCTGCCTCTTACAAAAAGATACGATATCATTTTGTTTTAGCTATTAATTTAGCGTATTTTTTTAAAAAATGTTAAAATCAACCATTTATTTATCAACCGACGACAAACAATAACAAAGTAAAAGTACATTCGCTATATATTGCAAATATATGTCGTCTGTATTAGAACTGTTGACTAAAAATGTTCATGCTATATTGATATATAAACAATGAATATTCATTCATAGACAAAAATAATATCTTTTATTTATTAAAAATTATCTCACTACGTGTAACACATTCCAATCTATATTGACAAGCGCATAATTAATTATAAATCATTATCACCAATTTATCGACAAATTTCCATGTATTCATGTACATACATACTATTGATCATTTGTAGGAAATCGTTCAGACATTAGTATGTTTAATTGAGATGGTGGAGAAAATTTGTAGTTGTTTACGTGGATAATTATGGCTGAGTTTTTTTTCTCTGAGCTGGATGTTTTAGGAGGTAGAATTCTATCTGAATTTTCTGCGGATGATGTTGTTCAGAAGAACAGTGAAAGCTCCACAACCAAAATATCCAGCTCAGTGAATAAAACCGCACCACAGTATCCTTAGTATAGATATATAAATGATACCTGACTTATTAGTCAGCTTAATTGTTCATCTGAACTACAATGAATTAGTTTCGAATAAGTTTAAACAAACGATTCGATTGATTGGTGCACTAAGCTAAGAGTTATCTGCAACATTTTCTATATTAAATAATTGTGTTATATCTAGAATGTTTCGGTTATTTTTCCGTTCGTTTGGTATGTGAGTTCTGCGTAGTTTGTTTATTAGTGATTTCGTTACAAAACTATACTTGTCTTTCTTATCCAGCATTTTGGGGTTGCGCTAAACTGATATATTTATGGTAGATAGCTGAGGATAACTTCAAGGATTCTGTTTGAAATCTTTGATGTAAATTACATTCGAAAATGTGCCGATAATTTGATCGATCAACGGAAAAATAGCCGAAAGTGTTGGATACAACATACCTACAACTACAACCACTAACTACCGAATTACTGTGTTGTCTTGCCCTGAATAGAAAATTTAATGACATGTAACATTCATGAATATTTGTAGACAGTTTTACACACAAGATGTTGCGCTTTGTATAGGCTGTTAACAAGATGAACACTATAAATAATATTTGTAATATTTCAAAAATAATCAAGTTGAATATTTGTATTTCAAATTATCTGCTTAATAGGGCAAACTACGAAAAGCACCTAACCGCATCACAAGATAAGCCCTCAGATGGAACCCTCAAGGCAAAAGGAAAAGAGGAAGACCAAGCAACACATTACGCTGAGAAATAGAGAAAGATATAAGAAGAATGAACAAACATTGGACAGAACTGGAAAGGGAGCCCAGGACAGAGTTGGTTGGAGAAAACTGGTTGGCTCCAATGGGGGTAATAGGCGTAAGTAAGTAAGTAAGTAAGTAATAGTCCGAATTCCAAGACGATCAATATATAAATGGGATCAATGAAGAAGAGTGGAAAAAATTAGTTTTCAAGTACAATAGAGTTTGGGAAAAACTACTTGATCAATTCACATTTGAGTCATGATGATGATGACGATGATGATAAAACAAAATTGTACTAATGATTTGGTTTCAATGTCAAATTGTCAAATACTTTGGCAGTAATCTTGATGACACTGTGGTACACAACTACTTCATTTCTATTGGTAGAAATCCAAAAAGATAGGAAACTACAAAACAACAGTATAACGAAGATTTTCTTTGAACAGTAACTGCACCTAGAAAATATGTACGCAACTAAATGTGATGACGAATTATGCAGGGTTGTTTCACTTAAAAAACTTGGTAAATACATGTTTCAACAGGGAAATGTGTCAAGTTATAAAACTTATAGTTCACCATACAGAAACAATTTTTTTAGTTACTTATAAACCTTGCTTAAGTGTACTGGGACTAATGAGTGAATCATACTGAGGTTGGACGTAACATTAATAAATAAAAATGGGAAAATAGCCAATGTAGTAGTGAATATTCATCCACTGAATTGGTTGAGACATGATGAGTCATGTTGTTTGGTGTAAGAATAAATTAGAAGATGAATAGAGATGGTCGAATCCAACCGTAGCACCAGTTTATGAAGTCACTGACCAATGATGATAGAAGAAGAATACCCGATCGGAGTTCGTACGATTATCATGATCAATTGTTGCTGACGATGAGTGATATTACTCGGAACCACACTTGCAGCGATGTAGATGCAAGCTAATTTTGATCTTCCTAAAGATCTTTAGATTTAAAACTATTCACCAATTTCTCCTTCGTTCATGACACATTCAGTTTATGTTTCGTTCTTTTCTACGACTACTGACATTGTTATTATTTCTACTAGTCTAGAAATAGTCTTCTGATAATATCATATTGTTATATTGACATGGTAATGGTAACTAGAACCGATGCACAGAGGTACCAAATTCTACAATCACATACAACTAACTCATTAACTCAATTGCTAGTAAAACAATGAACCATCAAGTTTTTGTATGAAATGAAGCTAAATATGTATACATACATTAACAGTTGATTACATTTACAATGACAAACAGCCATAGATATATATATCAATCAATAAAAAAAAATAGATTCAGCATAATCCTCCTACCTAATGAATGGTTTAAAAAGAGCCCATAAAATTTTTATTCCAGTAGTAGGATGTACTATGTAGAGTGCTTTCAAATTTTTACGAAAACTGAAAACAGAAATACAGAAAAATATAGCAAGAATAAATCAATTTCAAATCAATGAATGATAAAGAAAGTGATAAAAATCTACCTGATGCACGTAGTAATAATAGTAATGATTAACGTCTTGATATAAACAATGCCTGGGGTCAGGAATAGGGCACTAGGTAAGGATGGTAAATTAATTGATGAAGTAGCGTATCACTTCATAAGCTATGGTGGTTGAGATGTGTTACGTACGACCAACTTTAGCCTACTTTTAGAGATGTTGCCGGATGTAGAGGTAGGTTGGAAGGAAGCTAGGGGCAGCTAAACCAAAACATGGCATTAGTCTATGAAATCATTGACAAGTGGACTGAGCCATATTAATAGGTGTAGACTGATGTCTGGTCGACGTCTACATGACAACCATAACTGGAGGTTAGAAGCTTTGAATGAAATGGCTCAAAATCGTTTGCAATGGCGTAAATACATTCCTCCCTAAATACTAGGTTTCTAAGCTTTTCTATTACCTTTTCTATTATTTTTTTTCTGTTACTGTGACTACCTCTGCCATCTCAGGATTTAGCCCGACAATCTTATCCCCCTGTACAAATAGGTTACGGTAACTCGAACTGATGTACGTAAGTACCACGTTTTATGCTGCAACTGACTGACTAACAATCCTTCATAGAATTGAACGATTTCATCAGAATATTCTACTACTGATGAAATGAATACCAATGAATTAAGGGAATCATATCTCAAAATTTACTGGAGAACTGGATTACTGACGTGGTGGTAACCTGATTATACGTGACCAGTAAGTAATTAAGTATAGATCACATTATCATAGTCGATTAGACCTCATTATTTTTGATGAGAAATGATTAGAATAAGTGAGAAAAATTTTACGGAACAGAAGTCTCAGTGGTATAATTTTCAAACTGTGAGATTAGCACTCAATTCAACAACAACAATTTTGATTAACAAAAATGCGGGCATTACAAACAGACGAATATTTATCATCATCTAGCAGACAAGTTCAAAATAGGAAGAAAAGCGTGCTCTGGGTTCGAATACCTACCACATTTCATTTATTTTATATCTATTGACTGACATTTTTAACCATGATAAAGATATAACTCATTAATCTGCCAGACTAATAATAACTATCCAGAGGAAGCAGTTAGAAGGGATTCAGAATATAATGGAATCAAACGAAAACATACAACCGACTGTCGGTGACATGAAACAATATCATGTGTTCAATATAGTTAGATCAAGGTTTGGTGGTGCTCTGAAACGGTCACTGACATAGTTTGAACCTCCAATAAACTTCAGCTGTGCTTTCTGGACCACTGTATCTTCACAGACATGAGTTAACTATGAGGCAAGCTCAATTTCCTCCACTTTTTTCAGCTCATCAGGTTACTGTTCAGTGGTTTAAAAGTAACAGACTCGTCTTAAGCCTTGAAACTCGTAAGTTCGAACTATTAGGAGAATCCGAATGTACACTAATGAGAAGTACTATTTTTAGATGCAATAGCTGTCCAATGTTCCTTCATTCGTCATAGTTCTTCGGTCGATATCAGCCAGAGATGAAAAACAACTTCAACGTAAACTAATCAACAAAAATCTCACTATGATTTATTCAATTTCAAATAAAAATAAACATCGTTTATGACAATGTGTTGTCGTTCAACAATAAAAATAAACTTACTTGCGCCCAAATGTTCTATAAGCTTGAACAAGCCATTTAAATTTGGGTCGATTTTTATTTGTAAGTCCAAAGTGGAAGTAAATTAGAACATAATCAATACTGACATATTGTTCCAATGTTTTAGTAATATACCTAAAATAATAGAAAACAAAAATATATGAAAAATCAACATTAGATTATAAATCATAAACAAGTAGGTTATTTTACATTCATAATTTTAAAAGGTAACAAACAATAAGAACAAGAAGAATCTAAAAATAAGCGCTCATTAGAAACGAAAAAAAAGCTAATAAACTGATACATGCTAATGTTATGGATCTATAGTCACACAAGTACTAAGATATTCATATAAATTAGGATGTATCGATCAACCGCTGATATCAAAGGCTAGCATGCACTGTATTCAGTCAGTCATAACTCAGCATAGAGGTTGAAATACTTTTGCCCAAACTACATCATTGTAATAAGATGAATTTTAAAATATGAGTAATAAACGAATCCAAATGGTGTAGAAAGACTGCACTGACTGATAACATAGTTCGAAAAGATAAACAGTACTGGAACTTAAAGATAACGAGTGAATACATCTATGACATTGTGATTAATTCTAATCCATGTTACTCAACTTCTCCAACAGTCACATAGATAATCAGCATCTAACAATAAAACTCAGACAAACAATCAGTGACTTCATGAACTGATCCTATATTTCGGTATGAATAGTTCCAATTTTCTCCCAATTAACAGTACCTGTCAAGTTAGACAGTGGTTACGTGTATATCCCATATCTTTCAAGATTCATACCCCCTGTAAATACAAGTAGCTACTATAAATTAGCAACATAGTACACAACACTGACAAACATGTCACTATGTGTGCTCATTAAAAAAATATGGGAAATTACAAAATAGAACAATACACCTAGTCGGTCAAATCACTTTGTGGTACTGAAATCCCATTGTAATGTAATCACATATAGAATCTCTTAAAAATGAGTTATAAAGATTTAAATATTGTTAAAACTAAATAATCACTGGACAAGCCTGAACATACAGAGAGAGAGAGAGAAGAAAGATTAAAACCATTGTATGGAGGAGAGCATCTCTAAGGTAACCGATTACAAAACATGGTATTCAATTTTAAAAGTACGAGCACAAACAGATATTATTACAATGGAGGAAGAGACACAAACAAGGAAATAAACTAACAATAATAAAACAAAACGATGTTTAAAACTTGGATTAAAACAATAAATGAAATCACGTATTCAATTGTAACAGACTTCTTCATTTATATCTATTCGGTGTTATCAATCAGTATTGTTTTACTATTAAGTGATGAGATCTTATGGAAACCCGACCGAAGCTGCTACCTTGACGTGGTGGTCGGGCTTGCCTATCGTGATGACCCAACCGAGCTATACTGGCTGGAACATATGTTCCTACAGGTCCTACCATGCCAGGCAGGTCGATTGGAGAACGATGAGACTAAAAGCAGCTACCCAAGGTCTGAGGGCGAAGTCGTACTGCTGACTGCAGAGGGGTGTGACAGCAGTAAGGTGTTTCCCTCGGACAACCAGCATCTGCAGCGATGCTGCCTTCTCACAAGGAAGGAAGGGTTAGAAAAGGTCGGCCCTAAAAATGTCACACCTCCCCTAACTAACGGATTTCCGTCTCCTTGGGTAAGGGTGCCCACTAAGGGCCTTTAAGAACGGAGCTAATCCTCTAAATACCTTTCATAAAAAGGCCGTGCGTGACCGGCCTCAAGCAGTTGTCCCTTGGGCTCTGCGGTCACGCACCAACACTAATCTATCTTCCTTTTCAGGTTCCTCAAGAAACAACCTTCCACGGTGTGGGCAGCCGGGAAGTGACAACCGCCCTCATACCCGTAACAGCACGCGAGACCAAATTGGTCAAAATCAAATCCTTCCTACACCTCCTAGTACCTCTATTATCTCCACGACTAACTCTTCTCACATTCATTCATCACAGTGCACAGCTAATGCAGACGAAGCGAGATCACGAAACGTCGTTCCTGGTCTCTTGAAACCCCGTTCTAGACTACATGTTGGAGCTTTTAATGTACGGACATTGTGTCAAATAGGGCAACAGGCATCATTAGCTAGGACTATAGAAACTCGTGCCATCGATGTATGCTGCGTCTCGGAAACGCGCATACAGGATCCTAGTAAAGTCATTAACCTGATTCCACCTTGTCAAAACGAAGAAGCAGCCCGATTCACTCTTCGTGTATCTGGAAGCCCTGATGCTGCTTCCAAGAGTCTTGCTGGCGTAGGCATAGCATTGAGTCCTAGGGCAGAATTATCTCTCCTAGACTGGATCCCAGTAGATAGTCGTTTGTGCGCTGTCCGACTAAACGGGACTGTAAGGACTCGGAAGGATAGGGACACTCGCCGTTGCCTCTTCGTCATATCTGCCTATGCCCCCACTGACTGCAGTGCAGACGAGGTTAAAGATGAGTTTTACAGGAAGCTTTCGGACCTCCTCCAAAAAGCTAGGCGCTCTGATATAGTAATAATGGCTGGTGACTTTAATGCTCAAGTAGGTAGACTAGGTGAAAAGGAAAGACATCTAGGTGGATGTTATGGTGTAGCGACTAAGAGAACAGACAATGGCGACCGTCTGTTGCAACTATGCTCAGATAACCGCCTATTCTTAGCGAACACCAACTTTAGGCATAAGGAAAAGCATCTGTTGACCTGGCAACCCCCGAAGTCGTCTCAACGTTGGACTCAACTAGATCAGTTCGCCATCAGCCACCGATGGAGGGGTTCGATGGAAGACTGTCGCTCGTTCTGGGGCACATGTTTGGATTCAGATCATGCTCTAGTGCGAGCGCGTATTTGTTTGAGGCTTACTGGACGTAGGAAAGACACCGTAAGGAAGCCTCTTAGGGTTTTACTTGATGATAATCAAACTAAGAAAATATTTCAGGAGCAACTAGAAAGAGAGTTAAGCGACGATGTAAGTGATTCCCATCCAGAAGCAGGTTGGTATGATATCAAAAAGGCTGTGGAAACAGCAGTGATATCTGCTAGGAAGGTAAAACATAAGGCTAGGACGAAGCCGTGGATATCAGTCGCATCTACCGAACTGATGGATGCTCGAAAACGCATCCCACCTGACTCTGAGCATGATGAAGAGCGTAGTCAGCTTAGGCGCAGACTTATAAAAAGCCTACGTAACGACCACGAACAGTGGTGGGTGGCGAAAGCAAAAGTGATGGAAAAGGCAGCGGCGATAGGGAACACTAGACAACTTTTCCGCCTTATTAAAGAAACTGGTATTAAGAACCCGAATGTGAGTGAGACTATCTCGGAAAAGGATGGTCTTATTATCCATTCTCAATCCAGGAGACTGAATCGATGGGCAGAACACTTTAGGGATCAGTTCAACTGGCCACGAGCCACTCTTCGGTTACCCACGATCTCCAGTCATCCTGAATGGCAAATCGACCTAAGTCCCCCTAGTCTTAAAGACGTTGAGAAAGCGTTAGCAAATCTGAAACGAGGACGATCTGCAGATCCTGAAAGACTGACGCCTGAGATATTTAAGGATGGTGGTCCAGTTTTAGCAGCTAGGTTGACTGAGATCTTAGGTAGAATCTGGGAACTAGACGCAATCCCATCCGAGTGGTCTCAATCACTGATTGTCCCAATCTATAAGAAAGGACAAAAGTCTTCTTGTGACAATCACAGGGGAATAAGTCTAACTAATATAGTATCTAAAATATTGGCCTCAATAATACTTCGACCCTTAACGAAAGCTCGTGAAGAGCAGACTCGAGAAAACCAGGCTGGTTTTCGACCTGGACGTGGCTGTATAGACCACGTCTTCACACTCAGACAGGTCCTGGAACACAGGCATACATTTAGGCGTCCTACAATAGTTGTTTTCCTGGACATTAAGGCGGCATTTGACTCTGTGGATCGTGAGGTTCTGTGGCAGTGTCTGTCATTGAAAGGTGTACCAAAGAAGTACATTAACCTTATACAAGCACTCTACTCGAACACCACTGGTCGGGTGAGAGCTTATGGCGAACTGTCACCGGAATTCTCTACATCAAGTGGTGTCCGTCAGGGATGTCCACTTTCTCCATTCTTGTTTAATTTTATCATAGACATGCTCCTAGACATAACATTATCCTCGTCCGAATTTTCTGGTGTAGACCTTTTACCAGGTGGCTCGCTAATTGACTTAGAATATGCCGAAGATATAGTTCTATTCGGTGAAGACGCTGACAAAATGCAGAGTCTTCTGACTACCCTAAGCAACAATGCAAGCATGTTCGGGATGCGGTTTTCCCCGTCGAAATGCAAAATGTTGCTTCAAGATTGGGTTGCATCGGCACCTGAACTAGTGATAGGGAGTGAAGTAGTCGGGCGTGTTGACCGCTTCACTTATCTTGGGAGTCTCATCAGTGCCGATGGCCTGGTGACTGACGAAATCTCAGCACGGATACAGAAGGCTCGATTGGCTTTTACCAACCTGCGTCACTTATGGCGTAGGCGAGATATCCGTTTGCTGACTAAAGGACGAGTGTACTGCGCAGTGGTTCGCTCCGTCTTACTTTATGGCTGTGAAACATGGCCGTTGAGAGTAGAAGATATTCGTCGGTTATTGGTTTTCGATCATAGGTGTCTTCGAAGCATTGCTCGTATATCGTGGGACAGCCGAGTGAGCAACGCTGTTATTAGGAATCGGGTGCTAGGTAAGAATGGCAGACCAATAGATGAAGTGCTGAAACTTCATCAGCTGAGGTGGTTGGGACATGTGTTGCGTATGCCCAACCACCGACTGCCTCGTCGAGCTTTGTTTTGTAGTGTAGGAATAGGTTGGAAGAAAGCTAGGGGCGGCCAAACCAAAACATTGCAGAAATCCATGAAGTCATTGACGAGTGGACTTAGCCATGTCGGTAATTGTCGACTACCTGGTTGGGGTCCGTGAGATGATAATAATCTATGGTTAGAGACCTTGAATGACACGGCTCAAAATCGTTCGCAATGGCGCCGGTGCATTTATGCTTTGTGTTCTCTCAAATCTTAATCTTCTGGGTTCTTCAACAACTCTAGTTTTGACTTTCTAAACTTTTCTCATTAAATCATACTTCTTGAATAATATCTTCTAATCCTAACCTCTTCGATTACTCCTAATACCTTTACTACCTCATTTACTATTGGATTTGGATGTACTTATGTACAAAGTTCTACGTTGCATCTGACTGACTGACTGACTGACTCTTATGGAAAAAAAAATTGTTTATTAATACAATTCATGATCAATAGGCAATGAATACACGTCGACTAGATAAAATGTAGCTAACGAAAAACACAAAGATTGTTTATACTGATGTATATAGTTTGACCTTGATGCTTTGTTGATGTATAGCTTGAAAACAAACCAAAAAGTCTATTATGTCCGTTGCCTAGGAAAGAGGTTTGAAACTTGTCAAAATATGATAATTTAATAAGTTGAACAATATCGGTCATATTAAAATTTAACGTATCAGTTCAAATTACCACTGCACTTCATTACATTACAATGAAAGAAAACGAGTTTATTCGACATTATAAGTAGTATATATATATATATATATATATATATATATATATATATATATATATATATACATATTTAGAAACCAGGAATCAATATAAGCAAAATTTGTGACATAGTGAAATTAGCCATCAAAACTATAGTTTCACATACGATTTAATGGATATTTTGTAATGATTGTTGAGAAACTATTTTCTTCATGCTATCCTATCCTCCGTAATTTTGTCTTAACCATAAACAATCACAAACGCAAAAACCCACTGCTTGAAAACATTAGTAACAACAATTCAGTTGTGATTCATTCGCCAATAGAAATATGTTTCCAGAAGTCATAAGAAGAATGCTTGAATTGATAAAACATTTTGGTGGTTTGTTTTTCTAATCGATATAAGTTATTTTAAGCAAACACACATCTATTTATATACGTGGCTTTGAGTCATAATCCGTGGGTGTTAATAGATAAAAAAAAAGCACACAACCATAACTGTGACGCAGTCTGAACTTTAAAATTCAACACATATATGTAATTGCAATCATACGAAAATTGTATGTTTTCATTTTAGATTGTCCTAAACTGAGTAGCAGACCGTTACGTTGAAGTGTGTCAACGTAATCACTTTTAACAGATAATCAACTTATACTTAGTGTTCCATGGAAGACAAGGAGTTTTGCAATTTTTTAGTCAGAAAAAATGGGTTCCATAAATTTTCCAAAGAGTGACAATCGTTAAAAGCAAGAGAATTAATTTCTAAACATTGATCATAGAAGCAGTGACTTCATGATTCAGATACTAGACTTCAAATGACGGAAACATATTTACATCCTGTATGTGAATTTCAGAGACACACTATGAGAACGAAATTCTGAAGTGTAAGCTAACTGAAGCTGTTGTCCAGTTTAAAGACCCAAGGCTCCAATAAGTAGTTTGAAGTGCGGCTTCAGAGAACCATGGATAACGTTTCCTTGAACTAATCTCATTAAAATTGGTGGGGAATGCAAACGAACATGAAGCTACAGGAGGGGGATTGAGAATAGGCGTAGAGGAAGTATCAGGAAATAAACAACAGATTCGTTTGTGAACAAGGTGATTTCAAAAACTGTTATATTGAAAGGACACAGGTTATCTAGTGTTCTGTTTGTAAATGATAGCCGTTACATGTAAAGAAAAACTTGATCACATTTTTCCGATTCCGATTTTCACAATCATTGTTGCTGTTATTCGATTAATTGTTCTTAGAGTTAGTTGGGTAATTTTACTGTAACTAAGTGTCATGTTTTGTTTCAACATACACAGAATTATTCTGATTTGAGTTTATCTTCTGAGATATCAAGATTCTACTGAACCATGCTGCTATCGCACCTTACAGTATGGCGACCGTCGCTGCTAACTTGACGCGGTGGTCGGGCTTGCCAATCGTTATGACGCAACCGAGCTATATTGGCTGGAACATTCGTTCTTTCTAGTCCTACAATTCCACACAAGTCGATTGGAAAATGGCAAGAGTAAAAGTGCCAATTCAAGGTCTGAGGGAAAAGTTGCACGGCTGACTGTAGAGGGGTTTGAAAGCAGTGTGTTTACCTCGGACAATCAGCATCTTCAGCGATGCTGCCTTCTCAACAGAAGGAAGAAGTTAAAAAAGGCCAAGCCTAAGAATGTCACACCTCAACTAACCCTGTGGATTTCCTTCTCCAGCGGTAAGGCGCTTTGAAGGGCAGAACTAGCGCTTCCAAAAAGGCCGTACTCCTTGAGGCCGGTCCCTCAAGGAGTTGTCTCTTTGGCTCTCTGGTAACTAAGACCAACGCTAATATTTCTTTTCAGGTCTCTCAAGAAATACCTTTCCACGGTGTGGGTAGCGGAAAAGTAACATCTGCCCACATGCCTATGACAGTACATGAAACCAAATCAGTCATAATTAAATCTTTCCTACACCTCTTAATAACTATCTTATCTCCACGGCCAACCCTCCTTTCATTTCTTTATCACCTCCCACCGCTGATGCAAACGTTTTGAGATCACAAAACACAATCCCAGGTCTCCTAAAACCTGGCTCTAAACTACATTTTGCAGCTTTTAATGTCCGAGACTCATACAGGATCCGAGTAAAATCATTCATCTGGCATCATCTTGTCAAGATAAAAAAACAATCTCTGGAAGCCAAACTTCCGCTACCTGTGGTCCCTTATACGCTGTCCAACAAAAACGGGACACTCGCCATCGCCTCTTCGGTGTCTCTGCCTACGCTCCCACTGACTACAGCTCAGATGAAGTAAGAGATGAGTTTTATCGAAAGCTTTCCAATCTTCTTCAAAAAGTTAAGCGCTGTGATGTAGTAGTAGCGGCTGGTGACTTCAGTAGCCAAATAGGTAGACTACGGGAAACTGGAAGACACCTAGGTGGATCTTACGGTATTGCGACTCAAAGGACAGATAATGGCGATTTCGGCTAACCACGATCTCGAGTTAACCTGAATGGCTAATTGATGCCAGTCCTACGATTCTGAATGAGGTCAGAAAGGTTTTAGGTAATCTAAGGCGAGGGAAAGCAGCGGGTCCTGACAGCCTTACCTCTGAAATTTTTGAGGATGGTAGTCCAGTGTTAGCAGTTAGATTAACTGAGATCTTAGGGTAGAATTTGAGAACTAGATGGAATCCAATCTGACTGGTCTCAATCACTGATTGTCCCAGTGTATAAGAAAGGACAAAAGTCCTCTTGTAACAGTTGCAGAAGAATAACTTTGACCAATTGGTGTCTAAAATATTAGACACGATAATACATTGACGCCTATTTAGGGTTCGTGAAGAGGAGACCCGAGAAAATCAGGGTGACTTCAGACCCGGATATGGACGTATATATATTCCCACTTCGTCAGATCCTAGAACACAAACACACAGGTGTCCAACAATAGTTGTCTCTCTTAACCTTGAAGCGGCATTTGACTCAGTTGATCGTGAGGTTTTATGGCAGTGTCTGTCATTGAAGGGTGTACCAAAGAAGTATACTAAGATTATACAGGCTCTCAACTCAAACACTACTGGTTGAGTGACAGCTTTCGGTAAACTGTCTTCGGAATCGATTATCTCGAGTGGTGTTCGTAAGGGTTGTCCACTTTCTCCATTCCTATTCATCTTCTCCAAATGATATCTTCGATCCCTGGTCTTTCTGAACACCATCAATACTTCCACTACCTCTACTACTATGGGATTTTAATTGACAGTTAGATCCCTCTGTGCTAATCTGGTATGGCAATTTGAACTGATGTATGTACATTCGATGTTCTACGTTGTAGTTGACTGACTGAGTATCGTCAGCAGTACGATTTCGTTATCAGACAGTAAGTCGATACATTTAATCTGATCTCCTTTTAATCGACCCCCATGGAGTGATAAGGACAGGAGCTCTAGCCAAAACAGCTCGACTGCACTATAGGCAGATCTGAATATTACATCAGGAGAGCAACCACAGTGGTATGCTTGCATGGTACGAATAAGCAAACAAGCGGAAGTGCCTCAATAAGTTTAGCATTAACTAAACAAAACGCAGTGACATACGTATAGGATTATCCACTTACACGGATTCTATTTCATACATTAACTAATTAATTTAGCCTTTCCAAAGAAAAACTGTAAGTTATAAATTAATATAGAAAAAATAATGCTAATAATTCAGAAATGTTAACTAACTAGAAAAATACACAATCGTTATTTAAAAACCCCGGCTAACCATAATTCATTTTTCTCTTGAGTTCGACGTCTTACATCTTAATTACCTTATTCGCTAGGTACTTGAGTACGAACCATGCTCTAAGTGTAAGAACTAATGAATCTACCCAGTTGCCTAAACCGAATTAGATGATGCAGAGTGACTTTGTAGCTGAACGGTAAACTTCTTTTTAAAAAAAAATGGCTAATTCAATCCCAGGTTCATCAAATAATCATGACTTACATGAGCAAACGTTGATGATCAACAAGATCAGCTGCTGGTAAACGACAAGCGGAGAAAACAATTATTTTACGACCGAGTTTATCATCTCCTGCACCTTGTAATACACCTAGCCGAGAAATATCTGGATAATCAGAATCAATCACATCTTGAACACTGAGCTCCTATAATTAAAAGAAAAGTAAAAGTTTCAACATGTTAAGATAAAAATAATTACATTAAAATTTTGACAATTTTCATTAAAAAAGTAGCTTAATCAAAATACAATAGGTAAATTAAGTGTGTAGTATGCAATCGTAAAAGTGGCAGAATAATCTCAATGAACTTGACCATTTAAATTTAGCGAAATTTGAAAATTCCCTAATCGATTGGCAGCCAATAGTGGAAAAATAAAAAACAACTACTCCACTGGATTCATGCAGTTGTGGTGAAATAGGCCGGAACTAATCGTAACATCTATAGTTTAAAAGAAAGAATTTCATAAAACTTGAGTAACTCCTAAACGGTCTTGAGAAATGAAAACCAATTTTTAGTTTACTATAAAGTTCGACCAAAGAACTGTCAAAACTATCAGCATATAGAGCTATATTTTAAAATCAAACTGAAGTTCGTACTACACAGTTTGTGTTTCCTCGATTGAATATTTAATTTTGGTTGATTGATAAGTTATTTGAATGAGGCCTGTTTGATCGAATAACCCCTAAAGCGTTACATTATTTCGAAGAACAACAGTTCAAACAATAGCCTGAAGAACTAGTCACACTTAGTTGACTGGCCGCTGAATAATTTGAATAACGGGGTAGTTTTACTACTGATTGGTTGCAGTGTTTTAGAAGCGCATTAGGTTTTAGAATAGAGGTTCAGAGAGTGAGAACACCCATAGGTTACTAAAAGTTTACTTGAGTAAGCAGTCTTCGAAACCAACATTCTATTCGAAGTAAAGTAGGGGCATCATCTCAAGTTGTGTCCGTAAACATCAGTCAACGAAAGATCAACAATTTAGAATGCATGATGTTGAGTTTGTTACCGTCCACACATTTTCCTGCATTATTCGTGTCGTTATGACTGTATTGGTCGGATCAAATGACGTGAAAAAAGTAAGTGGATATGTTAGAACCAGTAATCAGTGGCTGAAAATCAAATCCACAAGACTATTATTAACAGCTTTAGTTGAAGAAAAACAGATGGGTCAAAAACAGTCAACGCTTTATAACGCAGGAAAGAAGTTGACCTGTTGAGGTTGATAAACCTTAGTGATCAACAAAATAATACATTCTAGAGCAGATGGTGACATCACTATATAGTCAGTCAATCACGGACAATCAAGGTACAGTACAAATGCAATTCTATCCGATTTGTTAAGCTTCGCACCATTGATACAACACAGCAAATTAACATACCAAATAGAGTAGGAGAGATAATAACCCCGATTAACGTGGAAAACTTAATATAACGAATACAGTTCAACAACAAAGACCAAAGAATGAAGTTTATGAAATGGGACAAAGTGAATGAACGAAATCGAAACGTTGCAACTGCTCCCGGTTCAGATTAGTGACCGAAATAGTCTAATGCAGGAAAAAAGGCCTTCGCTACTCTAAAGGCCAGTCATTCAACAGGAAATAATCTTTAAACAAATCGAAGACAAAAAGCAAGCCAATATATTTTACAACTTTGCTTTACACATCAAATACACCTTTAAAAAAACAACGTAAACTATAGCTAATGAGTTTACACATATTTTCTAAAACCTTTTCTCCACTAAATCATTTAACATCAAAGATGATGAATCTTTCAGTCTTACCTGTGGTACATCTGCAGCAACTAATCTATTAGCCCTGTCGTTTATGCACTCAGTGTTTAGCAACACTTTATGTGTATGTATAAGTGTGAAAGTTAGTCATATTACTCGAATGAGGATTACAAAGTAGACTAAGATCATTTAAAGTAGTCATTAAATCATTAACCCAAAATACTACAGATAAGACAATAGACGGATCAACAGTAAATATTACGGAAAAGCATAAACAAGGCAGAAAAAAATCTACTTCGATATATCGACACATAGAGAAAAAACCTCACACAAAAGAAAATAGTCGATAAAAGTAATAACAAAAGTCAATATAATGATTTATATGGTGTTTACCAATATTTAAACGTTCTTACTTTTTGTTCAACTATCTTATTTTTTGTATGGAAAAGCAATGAAACTGTAACTACTTGCACTTTAAAACAAAAAGCCAAAAAACCTTTATTCAACTAACGACACGTATACAACAATTCATCACTGTGACACAACAGCAGCTATATTGAACTAGGTAATTTTGATCAACCCTCTGACTAATACTGGCATAATGGTAAGAGTAAGCTTTAAAAAAATTGGACAAAAAATAAACAAGTTGATTATTTATATGAATATTTTTAAAACTCATTTTTACAACCATTGATTTGTGCACATGATATTTTTCTGTCACAAAGAAATACCTAAATTTTCTTAATACTACGTGCTCCATGATGACGTGAACATACAACTCTATCCACTTGTATAATACACCTACAGTGTTTTTAACACAAGTTGTCGATAAAAGTAAATATACTTTCGTGAAATTCATACTATTTAAACAGTATTATTTAATACGAGCACAGATCACTCTATTTTTAGTACTAACAGCTATGATGGTCAAGAAAAATTGTAACTCCTTTTTTTTAATAATTAGTATAAGAATCTTCAAAATACACTCCTAAAAATAATATTAAGTAATAATAAAGATTATGTTTACACGTACAATCTGTATATATTTGTATGCCAATGATGAGACTAACCAAGTGCAGACTGATGTTTTCGGCTTTAAGTCATACTTTATATGCGAGGGCTAGTGATACTGCCCAGTTGCCCGAGTCAGTCAGTCAGTTGCAACGTAGAACTTCGTACGTATGTACATAAGTTCAGGTTGCCACACCACATTAGCACAGAGACGCAAGTGTCAAATCAAATCCCATAGTGATAGAGATAGTAGAGGTATTAATGGTAATGAAGAAGACTAGGGAGTTGCCCGAGTGGAATTAGATGAAGCGGGATTCAAACATGTGACCTAGTAGTTGAGGGTCAAACACCATCCGTTCACTGAACTATGGATCGAAATATACCGCATAAAAACAAGTGACAATTCCAGGATTATTGCCCAAATGCTATATATGAGGCAAGGTTTAAACCCAACTTATTACTAAATGTAAAACATGTGATGCCTATGCCAATGAATCACGGCGTTAAGTAACAATAAGAAAAACAAAGAAAAGATAAAACATATATACTGTAGATGTCATTAAATATTAAAACCACAACGGTAATGCAAATCTAAAACAAAGTGTGAACTAAGCTTATTCGGGAAATAAATTCTAATTAATGAATACAATTCATTGCAACTACACATAAATAGATCCCTATAAAGTCGGAACTTTACGTAATCAAAAGTTGTAAACGTAAAACGTTAGTAAATGATTCAAAAGGTGGAACAGGTTGTCGATACATTCTCACCAAAGATGAACTGGTACGCGATAGTGAAAAATAACGTTTCGATCAATGATATATTTCTTAACGAAGAGTGAGAACTACATTACAACTGTAAGCAAGTGGTACATTTATTTTGCTTTAAATAAAACACGTGGTTTGGAGAGGTGAAATACACTACCCTAAAACTGGAAGTTACCTCCTTATACTATTGACCCAAGATAAAAAGAAGCAGTCGTAGGAACTTATATTCCCAATAATAAAAGATAGGAAACGATCGTATGAAACCGAAGTAAGTAATGAAATGGGTAGTACGCTCTTAGTTAAAAGTCATAAAAATATCTAGAAACGACAATTCCGACTGCTCGTATGCATACAATGAGTTGGCAACTGATCGAAATCAATAATGACAGTAGTTATTGAAAGATATATATATGAAAAGAATGAGGACGAAGTTAAACAAAATAAGATTTGTCAAGGATTAAACTACGACAGAATTACTTGCCTTAGCTGCGCATCCAAGTTCACGTTCAAAGTCTTCGTCGATTAATCCATCTGGTGTCATACGACCAGATTCGAACAACTGTTCATCAGATGAGAACTCTGCATCAAACAAAAAAAGAATGTGTGTACAAAAACGTTATACAGAAATGAGTTTATGTTTACAGTAGTATGTGTGGTTTTTCGATTGATTACTAATGAATAATGAACTAATCCAACCCTATGAGGAGGGACCATATCATATCAGCAGGTTAGATAACAATATTCTACAATAAAGGTCAAAAGTAGATTAATTCGAGTTTTTCTAAATCATATGTAACAATAACAACGCACATAATCATGTATTAAATAAATCCCATTAATTTACTGAAGTTCAATGGTATACAATCAGTCGCCAAAGACACTTTGACTGTAACAGTTTAAAATAGCTTACCGTAGCACCTATAATGCTGATTCACGATTATAATGTAAAGTGACCTGTCATTCAAGATCCCAAGAATACTCTATCTACCTATCTATCTATCTATCAATAGTCTTCGGCATAATCTGTTTGATATACAAGCAGAAAACACTTTAGGCACTTTCACTGTCAAAAATATCCACAGAAAGCCATACAGGTTACACATGTTTGCTCAAGGTTACTTCGTCTTGCAATGATGAAACAATCTGCAATACCATCATGAATAAATGAGTCCTCGATTTCTTTTAATCAAAATGGTTGGGGTACACTACTTACACTTGATGATTTTTATAACGTTTTTTTATGAAATTTACCACAAGATAAAAGAAATTTAAATTGTCTTTTCTACTTTGTGCCCGTGTATTCATACTGATTCACACTTTATAATGAACTGATACCCTGTTTTAATGTGTAGTTAAAGAACTAGGTAGTCAGTTTGTTAAATTAAGCTATCTGAAATAATTAGGACAATCGTTCGGTAGTAAAAATAGGTCCACTGAAGACTAAAATAAAGATATCCGGGGTAATTAGTGGAGTACACATTCAAACTATTCCTAAATAGGTGGAATTCTGTTTGGCTGGAATCAGACTTCAGCAACATATTGAGGATATTTAATGTTGTGTTAGGAGTCGACGCGCCCAACTGCTCCACTCCCTATCACTAGTTCAGGTGTCCATGTAAGCCAATCCTGGAGCAACGATTCGCATTTCGACAGGAAGAATCACATACCGAACAAGTTTGCATTGTTGCCTACGGTAGTCAGAAAACTGCATCTTGTCAGCGTTTTCGCCTAGTAGAACTATGTCATCGGTATATTTGAAGTCAACAAGGGAGTCTCCTGGTAGAAGGTTCAACCCTGAAAAGTCAAACGAAGATAACGTTATCCATAAAAGCTGTCAGTCAGTCAGATGCAACGTAGAACTTCGTACGTAAGTACATCAGTTTATGTCACCATACCACATTAGGACAGAGACGCAATTGTCAATTCAAATCCAACAGTAAAAGAGGTAGTAAAGGTATTAGGAGTAATCGAAGAGGTTAGAATTAGAAGATATTATTCAAGAAGTATGATTTAATGAGAAAAGTTTAGAAAGTAAAAAACTAGAGTGGTTGAAGAATCCAAATGATTAGGATTTGAGAGAACACAAAGAATAAATGCACCGGCGCCATTGCGAACGATTTTGAGCCATATCATTCAAGGTCTCTAGCCATCAATTATTATCATCTCGCGGACCCCAACCAGGTAGTCGACAATTACCGACATGGCTAAGTCCATTTGCCAATGACTTCATGGATTTCTGCCATGTTTTGGTTTGGCCGCCCCTAGCTTTCTTCCAACCTATTCCTACACTACAAAACAAAGCTCGACGAGGCAGTCGGTGGTTGGGCATACGCAACACATGTCCCAACCACCTCAGCTGATGAAGTTTCAGCACTTCATCTATTGGTCTGCCATTCTTACCTAGTACCCGTTTCCTAATAACAGCGTTGCTCACTCGGCTGTCCCACGATATACGAGCAATGCTTCGAAGACACCTATGATCGAAAACCAATAACCGACGAATATCTTCTACTCTCAACGGCCATGTTTCACAGCCATAAAGTAAGACGGAAAGAACCACAGCACAGTACACTCGTCCTTTAGTCAGCAAACGGATATCTCGCCTACGCCATAAGTGACACAGGTTGGCAAAAGCCAATCGAGCCTTCTGTATCCGAGCTGAGATTTCGTCAGTCACCAGGCCATCAGCACTGATGAGACTCCCAAGATAAGTGAAGCGGTCTACACGTTCGACTACTTCACTCCGTGTCACTAGTTCAGGTGCCGATGAAACCCAATCTTGAAGCAACATTTTGCATTTCGACGGGGAAAACCGCATCCCGAACATGCTTGCATTGTTGCTTAGGGTTGTCAGAAGACTCTGCATTTTGTCAGCGTCTTCACCAAGTAGGACTATGTCATCGGCATATTCTAAGTCAATAAGCGAGCCACCTGGTAAAAGGTCTACTGCAGAAAATTCAGACGAGGATAAGGTTATTTCTAGGAGCATGTCTATGATAAAATTAAACAGGAATGGAGAAAGTGGACATCCCTGACGGACACCACTTGAAGTAGAGAATTCCGATGAGAGTTCGCCATAAGCTCTCACTCGACCAGTGGTGTTCGAGTAGAGAGCTTGTATAAGGTTAATGTACTTCTTTGGTACACCTTTCAATGACAGACACTGCCACAGAACCTCACGATCAAAAGAGTCAAATGCCGAAGAGTGGCTCGAGGCCAGCTGAACTGATCCCTAAAGTGTTCTGCCCATCGATCTAGTCTCCTCGATTGAGAATAAATAATAGTCCCGTCATTTTCTGAGATAGTCTCACTTACACTAGGATTCCTAATACCAGTTTCCTTGATAAGTCTGAAAAGTTGTCTACTGTTGCCGATCGCCACTGCCTTTTCCATCACTTTTGCTTTCGCCACCCACCACTGTTCGCGATCGTTACGTAGGCTTTTTATCAGTCTGAGCCTAAGTTGACTTCGTTCTTCATCATGTTCAGAGCCAAGTGGGATGAGTTTTCGGGCATCCATCAGATCGGTGGATGCTACTGAGATCCACGGTTTCATTGTAGCCTTATGGTCAACCTTACTAGCAGATATCACTGCTGTTTCCACAGCCTTTTTGATATCATTCCATCCTGCTTCCGGATGGGAATCGCTTAAATGGTCGCCTAACTGTCTTTCTAGTTGTTCCTGAAATAGATTCTTCGCCTTATTATCATTATGTAAAACTCTAAGAGGCTTTCTTACGGTGTCTTTCCTACGCCCAGTAAGCTTCAAACAAATACGCGCTCGCACTAGGGCATGGTCTGAATCTAAACACGTGCCCCAGAACGAGCGACAGTCTTCTATCGAACCTCTACATCGGTGGCTGATGGCGATGTGATCTAGTTGCGTCCAATGTTGAGACGACTTTGGTATCTATAAAAGCATTCTGTGACAAGGTTGAACAAGAATAGAGAAAGTGGACATCCCTGACGGACACCACTTGAAGTAATTAACTTCGATGACAGTTCGCCATAAGCTCTAGCTCACCCAGTAGTGTTCGAGTGGAGAGCCTGTACGTATGTTAATTCTTATGTACAGTTTACGTTTATTGCAAAATAAAAATGGTTGTATAGACGTAGAAGTCCTTATCTGGAATCTCTTAGTGATATAAACACAAGACTTTGAAATTTCGTGACAATCATAATACATATTAATGAGTTAATTGATTGATAAGGTCAACCATGTAGATGTGTTCATGTACTGCAGCCACAAGATTTCCTCAATACCTACTAAGTTGCATGTCTAATTCATGTTATTAGTTAGTATTAATGCTTAGTTGATTGTGAGTTAAATACTCATACTTAATAACTGTTTTAAACCGTTTACTGAATACTGTTCGTCAGTGTCAGTTCCACATATTTTTTGTACTAGTTTAGTACAAATACAACACTCTTGTGTCTATTTTTGACAAGTAAAACTAAATTCTCTATATCCTTTGGAAACTTTGGAGTTAGCCAGTCAATTACAATGCAGAATCGGGAGAGTGGGCAGCCCTGATAAACACCACTTGAGGTTACCGATTCCGATGACAGTCCGCCATAAGCTCTAACTCAACCTGTAGTGTTCGATTAGAGAGCTTGTATAAGGTTGATGTACTTATTTGGTACACTTTAAAGAAAGGCTGCCACAAAACCTGAAGATCCTCAGAGTCGGATGCCGCCTTAAGGCCGGGAAATACTACTATTGTGGGATGCCTGAATGTGTGTCTGTTTTAGATCATTTCGTAGTGGGAATACGTGGTCTATACAGCCACGTCCAGGTCTGAAACCAGCCTGGTTTCCCTAAGTCTGCACAGTGAAACAGATATCTGCTACAACTTGAAAGTAATTTATAAGTACCTAATAATGATATTTTAGACATTTTTATCTAGGGAGTTTAAATCGATCTATCATACAGTTGCTACCACACACTGAATTAAATTTAGGCAAAAATATAATCAATAAATTTGGTAGATAGCTGCATGCAACAATCTGTACCAGATTTCGAAATCGTGCTGGCAATATTAGCAGAAAGAGATACTGCACAAATAACGAGAAACAATCACAAAATCGTAATGAATCTGAAAAACCATGTGTATTTGAAAGCCTTCCAAACCAACTGTTAAAAACTTAAACGAACCTTTCTGTGCAGCTAATTCCAACTCAAATTCATCAAACTCCATTTCTGGAATTTCGAACTCAGAGTAGGCAGAATGAACGGGCATATTATCGTCGTATTTGCTGTTTCGCCTTGACGTCTCACCAACACTAGAAGCCGTCTCTACATCATTCAAAGCATTCCATGATGCTTTTTGAGTGATAAGACTCTCATCTCCAACTATATTAGACATTTTGACTGCATTGATACTATCAGCAGGAACGTTCAGCTTGTTTTCTGTGTGTAATACATTGCCTTCACAAACAGTACTAGTTACTGCTGGGTCTGATTCCATTTTTTGTAACCTAAAAGTTGCTTTAAAACGGATAAAAATTGAATTTTAATCACAGAACTAGTATTAAAAACGGAAGTAATTATGAGAATCTTTTATTGAGAACTTTTACAAACAAGAATCTAAACGACGTTTGGCAGCCACTAGTCGATCAAGTGCCTGATAGAGATCAATTGCCTTGTCGTAAGTGCACCCTTCATACGGCAAGCCCGCCGAAATCTGTGACAAATAGTTGATGTGTGAATTCATCTCCGCCTCTACTTCCTTAATAACTGTTCGAAAGTTATGTGTGCAACTTTCAACTTGTTTTACCATAGGTTTATCCTTTGAAAGCTCTTCGAGTGCACTCCCGGCATGGTGCATTATAAGACTTATCTTTCGTTCAACCTCATCAAGCTTGTTAAGGCGAGATTCAAGGGAAGCTTCGGCTTGATTATCTTTGGAAGGATTTAGCATCTGTAACCTTGCAATACAAACAACGCGGGGTCGTTAGGTTATCCAATATCTCCAATCCAATTATTTTTCACGAGCTTGTGTAAACCAGTTAATTTCTTTGCGCTTGATTTGTAATTAAGTATATGATTCATCAAGCACAGGAAACCCTAAATATTGCAGCTATAGTTAGATTGTAGATAAACATACTGACTAACATGTACAGTTGTGTTAAGGAGCATACGGTATTTGAAGATGAATAAATCTGCTCATCAAATACGTACTAAACAGTTAACAGGGAAATTATTAGCATTTATAGAGTTCCAGTTTTACCTTTAATGAATACAGGATTATTAAGCATGTATGAAGTTTCTAAGCCTTATCTCGAATTAAAATGTATTATTAATAAAGTTGGATTGCTACAATAAAAAGAAATACTCGAATCTCTAATATTAACAATTAACACTTAAAATATTTAAATTACTACCCTAGAAGTCACAAAATCATAAGTATTCAAGTGACTGAAAACTTCATAATCACAATCAAGTGTATTCCAGTTATAATTTTAACGAAGAAATAATTATCTAATACATATACCAGACTTAATGAAAGTGTCATACACAAGCCTTTAAAACAGATAGGTTGGTGTATATTTAGCGGCATGCTATCACTTCATAGAAAACCTAATCGTTTCTTTGAAAGAGTTGCAGTGAATAAAAGTCATTGATAATATGTGATGTCCTATAGTTGCATTTTCCGATCAGAGTAGCAAGTGTCTGCATTATATATAAGTCTAATAGAAAAAGATCTGGATTGATCCCACAAGCCAGTATAGTTATTAGAGTGACATTAAAATTGAATATCCAATATCTTTTTCACAAGCTCGATTCTTGTTCCTACTGTATGTTTCCTGGCATTTCGTAACTTGCAATTAATTATAGTCTAGCCACTCGATTGCACTAATCCAAGTCGGTTGATACTTATTTAAGACTTAGTATATACCATGATCTGAGTGAGTGTTTTCGTCTTAAAGTAGTAGGGTTTCCGGACACCACGTTGCAGATCAATTATTTGCAATACGGAGAATTGTAAGTAGAAATTTCTAACGCTAAACAGAAGATAATTTCAGCAAGATCTTAGCACTAAGTAAATATATGAATAAGTTGTTAAATTGGTAATTAAGACTGTGCAACCAGACAAGTGTTAACAAGGAAGAAGAAACAGAGATAATAAGCTATGCAGAATAAAGTAATGATCTGAGGAAGTGATAATGATGGAAACTAGTCTCTTCACACCTTTTCAAGATTATTGGGCAAATATTGTCACATCCCTATGACTTTCCTGGGTGCAGAGATTCAAAGATTCGTAGTACTGAGCTAGATGTGAGTCGGATATTCCCTAAATAATACTCTAAACGTTTAGGTACCTGATCTAACTGGACACTGAACTTGGCGTTTAAGACCTCACTCATCTCTTAGTTGCTAAGATATCCGTCTATGCAATAAGATTTATATAAGTATCGACCTAAAAATTATTATCATAAAAATGGATCCTACGTGTTACATAACATCAGCTTATGATCCTTAAGAGTGAATGGAGAATCCAATTTGAAGGCTTTGTTTTGAGAAAATCAGTCTATGTATATATTTGTAATATGTTCTTACTGACTCTTTCTGTGCTACATTTTGGTACTCTGTTTCATCCTATTTTGTGATGTCAATATTTGTATTTTGTTATAGTTGTTATTTTTGGTACCTATATTGGAGTTTCTATGTTTTCTACTGAACTGTATTATGCTGTTTAAATTGTTACTTAATTATGGCGGCAGGCATTTCGGATTTGACACCCTGGGCAATGAACCTCGAATCTGGACTGGAAGGTTGCAATTTTGGATCAAAACGGATGCATTCCTCCAGAATTAGAGACACATTGTGTTTAACTGTTTTAAGGAACAGTGTAATATGGGTTAGGTAATTATTCCTATTATACAAATAATAGCAGAACCGTTTCTTACCCAAATAAATTGCTTTTTTGCTGAATTAACTGGGAACAGCGCGTATCTAAACCCGTAGAACTGTTCTTCTGAATTCAGAGGCCACTCGAAATTTCCAACACTGTCTTTTATCAGTTTCAAAGATTTCTTCGTCACCTCATCTTTCTTACGGTTTTCGCAGCTCAACGTTGGTATCAGTAATTTTCAACCGTGTTGATAAAATTTTGGGTTTGGAAATCAGAAATTGATTCAACAACTATTCAGCTTAATTACTAGTGTACAATTTGGCAAATAAACTTTACAGTTCGGATGTGATTTCTAGAACAATGTAGACCACCCCTTGCTGTGATTATCGTCGTGTCGCACGAATAGGCACTCCTGAGTAACTTCAGTCTTTTAGTTTAAAGGTCTGGCCGGGAATAACTGTTTTGAAAGGGTTTGTTTATGACTTGTATGGATTTTAAAGGCGAGAGTGAGTTCAAAAACGAAAATGGTAAATAAAGAAGGATCATAGAGTCGTTTGTTTTCCAATTATCATCATCAGTTTCAGTATTAAGTAACAGATCGAAATAAATTATATGCTTGATCTTCATTCCCATGTGCGCTGAGAAAGCAGAGTCGCCTGTACATCCCATAAGGTTGGGCATTTATAACAAAATGTGGCTTTAAAGTAAGCTGTGGTATGACCCTATCCAAACTTCAGTTAGCAATAACTAGGAGAACCTACGAAAACGATTTTAGAAAATGCACATATTCACAATAATCGTTCTCCCATTTGATAGCTGTAACATGAGTAGAGTAACAGTGAGTTTAGGCCAAGTTATCAGTCATATTGACTGCATCAGCAAAGCGTGCGATTTCAATACGTGTTGTGTTGGTAACTGTGGGTACCGAAAATCAACAATGCGAATCGATTAATAATTGCGCGTCATGGTCAGTGCTGCAACATGGCTACTCTGTTATTCGGTCTTTAATAGAATATAATTTTGCGTGGTTAGAATTTTTGTTTTGTATGACTGGTTAGCTATGTTCAGGACGCTCCTGCATACGATGTAGCTACAGTTCTCATAATGGATGGTCTTAAGGCTGAGCCCGACAACCATTTAGTTATCTATGGCATAATGACCACATGAAACAGCCTTATTTTACGCAAGTCTTGGTCATTTTCATCACTGTTATTATTACTCATTGGCTCATCCCTGCCCACGTTACCTCTAGTCTGCCAAATCAGGCTTGTGTTGGTCGACGTTTTTGTTATTCACTTCGTTACTTTTTCCACGCTGCTGGATATCCTTTTTTAGTAATCAACTAGTGCTCAGAACTGAGATAGCTGATTTTTCTAGCAACCTGACAACTCTAGAACAACACGCCAATTTAAACTGAAGAAATATTAACTTTTATTTAATTATCAAGACTCATAAGAACTAATTCAACAGATTTGCTGGACTTCTTGATTTGGATGACGCAAAAGACCTGAAGCAAAACTGTAACATTATGAAACAATATAGGACACAAAACAGCCATTAGCTAGCGATATACATGAAGAATCACTTCAAGGCCGTAAAGACTCCAGCATTTGGAATTACTTGATCTAAATTACAGGGGGATCAGAGGTGATCTTATTATGGCTTGCAACATATTAAGCACGCCATACCATCTCAACATGAGCGTCTTACCGATGAATCATAACCACTCCATTAGATGCAATCCTCGAAAGACTGCACATCAAAGAGGTAATACTCAGGTTCTTGCACACTTTTTCTCTTTGAGAGTGGTCGCAACTTGTAATGCTCTCACAGCCGAGGTGGCTACGGCCCTCTCAGTGTACAGCTTTAAGAAGAGACTTGATAAACAGATACTCACATACGTATTTTCATGTCCCTCGTGGGCCAGCTGGGCTTGATGCATACCTTGAGACCTTCCAGTCATTATTACTACTTCCCCTCAGATCAATAACCTAATCTATCTTGTCTCTTTCCTACGTTTTATCTCCCTTGCTTACACTTCGGCCCTCTCACAATCTCTACTATCAATTCATAAGCTTAATTATCTACATATTACTTAGTTCTGAAATCTTATTCATATTAGCATTAGAATTTTATCCTTGTTATTCTCCACATTGCAACTAACTGATCTACAGTCTGGTTTATTTTAGTTCATGAAGAAGATATAGGATATTGGATTCAATATGACCCTGAAGAATGTCCATTTTTTAAAAGGACTACTTATAGTCGTTGGGGTAAACAACAAAACTATGTACAAACAATACAAGGTAATAGCAGTAAAATTTAGACATTTATTCTTCAAACTCAAGCTTTCTCAAGACCTTAGAGTTCGTCGAGTTTCAAGTCGAGCTCCTGCTTTTTCCACAAAATCTGTGCAGTGTGGCGCTAAAGGTGTGACAAAATTAGAAGACTATGTGGGGAAATATTTGGTTGTTATATTTTACCCTTCAAACTTGTAAGTTTTTAGACTTAATTACTTGGGATTTGCAAAGCGACAACCAATATCTGTACTATTAACTGCCTTTACATGTAAAAACTCATCGATCGGATAATGTACTGTAGTACAGCTATGGTAGTAGCATTAAAACCTTTAACAGAGAATACGCTGTAACGTGGAAAGGTTTTGAGTTATAGATTGCCATTTCAGGCTTCTGCTTTGTACTGCTCAGAGAGACATCGTACTCACGGTATGACTCATGAGATACCTTGTAATTCAACAAGATTTTGTTGATGTTACCCAACAAAAACCTCAGCTACAGGTTAATTAATATCACTTCAGGTCTTTTCTGCGATTTCACTGATTTATTTATAAGGTTCAACCGTAAAAGATATATTAACAATTAGTTTATTGATAAATTATTAACAACTCCCTGCTTGTTAGTCTGAATTGCAAAACAAAAAATATTTCAGGAAATTAACCTTATAGAATTATAATGAACGTTTTTCAGGGATCTGTCGAAGTCTGAGAGCATAGATTTGGGTAAAATGTTACTTTTACATGAAGAATGAAGCTGGTAAAAATTAAACTGTCTTGCTTGTAAGACATGAAGGGTTCATTTATCATGAAACAGTATCGGTGCTTATTCAAGATATCTATAGCTTCCGTGTGGATAATAAGTGGTAATCTTTCAAAAAACGGTATACTGGACCGGTAAACAGTCTGATATGTTAATCCTAATCAGTTCCTTAAGTTCCACAGGTTATACCAACAAGTATTTATTTGTTGAATTACTAGAAGCTATTCGGTACGAAAAAGTTACACTCGAAGTTATCTAGACAGAGGAATCAAAGGAACTACATAATAGTCTGGTAAAAAATTACCAGTCAACAGAACAACTCATGGGTACAAAAATCACCAGTTAGAGCTAAATCACAAAACGATGCCGGAGAGATTGAAGTTTAATCATGCCGTTTATAATATTTTAGACAGAACGTATATTAACGATTATCAAATACCTAAGGAAAAACGAGGAAGCCAATTTCGGGGAATTGAAAAAAGAATAGATATTTAATTTGTTATCTAAGGGTTAACAGCAATGATTATAGCAAGCGTGATCAGTTTTTTAACTCAAAAGGATTGATATTATTTGGCGTGATCAATTGAGTACAGTTTATTGAGCTAAAAATCTGAGTGTTTTTATTAGTAGTAAAGTATGGTGGAAACGAAACCTAAATTATTACTGCTCTTAACCCACATTCGGTTTACTTCCGTTGATCATTCAAACAAATCATAATATTTTGTTTGTAAACGATTGGCTTTCGGATTGAGTCTGAGGATTTATCAAGGCTAGTGGAGTTCAACCACATCCAGAGTGAGAGAGTGACGTAATAGATTATTTTAGATTTCTCAGGCTCTATTCTAAAACCTAACTGAATTTCAGAAAAAATTCTTTTAAATTCCGACGTATACTATTCTAATTACTATATCTTGTATTTAGTCGACAAGAATCGCAAATCGCCACGTACCATACGATATTAACTTGAAGGTCAACTAGTGGTTGAACGCTTTAAATTCATATTTTCCTAGTTAAAGGATCATTTCAGTTACATAATGTCACTAAGCTAAGTGTGTACGCATAAAAAGGCGTATAATATTTACCTTGATTCACACTCAGTTACAGTAAGGGGATTCCACTAGCTTCGGTCCGTTCTAAAGGTGAGAGACCATTGTCGTTACTTGTATGGGAAGCAACTGCCGAAATTCCTTTTATTGTACACTCTAAACTTGCAATTGGTAAATAAGTAGATGTAGGAATATATTTGGTCATTGTTCGATAAAGAGTCGTAAAAGCAGGGAAAAACCAGTTATCTTTAAGTTGGCAATAGAAATTTCATCCGAAATTCTTGAAAGTGTAATAAAAATCTGAAGCTTATATTTTACCGTCAAGATGAATCAAACAGAAACTAAAGTTAATCTGACTAACAATAATAGCTGAGTTTAAAATATCTCGCAAACTATCTTTCGGTATCAGGTGTTGTAAGAGAGTCCAAAAGAAGCCATGAACATAGATTCCGTGCTAACTGGCACTCATCCATAAGGTAAGTCTGCAATGTTGTGACGACTGATGTTATGCTTGAGATTCAAACTATGTGCCACTAAAAGCATCTGTCACCGTGAAATTTTAAATTTATCTTGCTAAAGAGTGTTCTTTCCACGTGACTTGTTCTTCCCTAACTCACTAAATGACTCGGTACCGCTTCAGTATGTTTTAACTTGAGAAACCGGTTTCATCGTCTGAAGTGTAAAATTAACATGTCTGTCTTCTTCATGCTTGATTATTTGCAGCTTGGAACTTTCGTCACAAGAACTACTAAATTTTAATAACTATTTATCAGAGTTTCAAGAAATCAACTGCGAAATTATAGCTATCTCTCCGGATTCTCTAGAATCCCATGCAGCATGGTTCTGTGCGCCAAATAATCACAATGGACTTGATGAAAATGTCCACTTTCCTTTACTGGAAGATAAGAATATGACGATATGCAAGGCATATGGAGTCTCTAATGAAGATAATGGAAGCGCTTTAATGTAGGTATTTTGTACAGTGCAGTAAAATACTGTAACTAACCTTGAGCAACATTTATCTTGTTTTAAACCTTAAAATATTAGTTGAATCTAGTCACCTCTCATAAGACGATGGAACCAATATTGAAATTAGAGGCTTAAAACGTGAGCTTGTTTAAAATTTAGTAGCTGATCTTAATTCTACAAAATATCTGTTGTCAGTGGAGCAATTCACTGGTGATATCTTTAAAGGTGATACTAACAATGGAGAATATCAGTTTATTCTTGACAGCAGAAATAGTTTGTTCACTAGAATCGACTAGCACGGAATTCGTTTTCAAAGATTCTCGTTGATCGTTTCTCACTGTTTAATCAATAAAACAGTAACATATAATCTAAAGTTTGTGAAATTTCTGCATTTATTAGTTCTAATTCATTTAGTCATTGAAAAACCAAAAAATCATTATTATAGTCAGTCAAAGCCAAATGTATAATAAAGTGTATGAGGAAGTAGTAGAACAGTCAGTCAGTTTCAACGTGGAACTTCGTACGTAAGTACATCAGTTCATGTCGCCATACCACATCAGCACAGAGATATAATTGTCAATTCAAATCCAATAGTAGAAGAGGTAGTAAAGGTATTAGAAGTAATCGGAGAGGTTAGAATTAGAAGATATTATTCACGAAGTATGATTTAATGAGAAAAGTTTAGAAAGTAAAAGCTAGAGGTGTTGAAGAATCCAAATGATTAGGATTTGAGAGAACACAAAGAATAAATGCACCGGCGCCATTGCGAACGATTTTGAGCCATATCATTCAAGGTCTCTAGCCATCAATTATTATCATCTCGCGGACCCCAACCAGGTAGTCGACAATTACCGACATGGCTAAGTCCATTTGCCAATGACTTCATGGATTTATGACATGTTTTGGTTTGGCCGCCCCTAACTTTCTTCCAACCTACTCCTACACTACAAAACAAAGCTCGACGAGGCAGTCGGTGGTTGGGCATACGCAACACATGTCCCAACCACCTCAGCTGATGAAGTTTCAGCACTTCATCTATTGATCTGCCATTCTTACCTAGTACCCGTTTCCTAATAACAGCGTTGCTCACTCGGCTGTCCCACGATATACGAGCAATGCTTCGAAGACACCTATGATCGAAAACCAATAACCGACGAGTATCTTCTACTCTCAACGGCCATGTTTCACAGCCATAAAGTAAGACGGAGCGAACTACTGCGCAGTACACTCATCATTTAGTCAGCAAACGGATATCTCGCCTACCCCATAAGTGACACAGGTTGGCAAAAGCCAATCGAGCCTTCTGTATCCGAGCTGAGATTTCGTCAGTCACCAGGCCATCAGCACTGATGAGACTCCCAAGATAAGTGAAGCGGTCTACACGTTCGACTACTTCACTCCGTGTCACTAGTTCAGGTGCCGATGAAACCCAATCTTGAAGCAACATTTTGCATTTCGACGGGGAAAACCGCATCCCGAACATGCTTGCATTGTTGCTTAGGGTTGTCAGAAGACTCTGCATTTTGTCAGCGTCTTCACCAAGTAGGACTATGTCATCGGCATATTCTAAGTCAATAAGCGAGCCACCTGGTAAAAGGTCTACTGCAGAAAATTCAGACGAGGATAAGGTTATTTCTAGGAGCATGTCTATGATAAAATTAAACAAGAATGGAGAAAGTGGACATCCCTGACGGACACCACTTGAAGTAGAGAATTCCGATGAGAGTTCGCCATAAGCTCTCACTCGACCAGTGGTGTTCGAGTAGAGAGCTTGTATAAGGTTAATGTACTTCTTTGGTACACCTTTCAATGACAGACACTGCCACAGAACCTCACGATCCACTGAGTCAAATGCCGCCTTAATGTCCAGGAAAACAACTATTGTAGGACGCCTAAATGTATGCCTGTGTTCCAGGACCTGTCGTAGTGTGAAAATGTGGTCTATACAACCACGTCCAGGTCGAAAACCAGCGTGGTTTTCTCGAGTCTGCTCTTCACGAGCTTTCGTTAAGGGTCGAAGTATTATTGAGGCCAATATTTTAGATACTATATTAGTTAGACATATTCCTCTGTGATTGTCACAAGAAGACTTCTGTCCTTTCTTATAGATTGGGACAATCAGTGATTGAGACCAGTCGGATAGGATTACGTCCAGTTCCCAGATTCTACCTAAGATCTTAGTCAACCTAGCTGATAAAACTGGACCACCATCCTTAAATATCTCAGGGGTCAGTCTATCAGGACCTGCAGCTCGCCCTCGCTTCAGATTTCCTAACGCTTTTTCAACTTCATTAAGACTAGGCGGACTTAGGTCGATTTGCCATTCAGGATGACTGGAGATCGTGGGTAACTGAAGAGTGGCTCGAGGCCAGCTGAACTGATCCCTAAAGTGTTCTGCCCATCGATCTAGTCTCCTCGATTGAGAATAAATAATAGTCCCGTCATTTTCTGAGATAGTCTCACTTACACTAGGATTCCTAATACCAGTTTCCTTGATAAGTCTGAAAAGTTGTCTACTGTTGCCGATCGCCACTGCCTTTTCCATCACTTTTGCTTTCGCCACCCACCACTGTTCGCGATCGTTACGTAGGCTTTTTATCAGTCTGAGCCTAAGTTGACTTCGTTCTTCATCATGTTCAGAGCCAAGTGGGATGAGTTTTCGGGCATCCATCAGATCGGTGGATGCTACTGAGATCCACGGTTTCATTGTAGCCTTATGGTCAACCTTACTAGCAGATATCACTGCTGTTTCCACAGCCTTTTTGATATCATTCCATCCTGCTTCCGGATGGGAATCGCTTGAATGGTCGCCTAACTGTCTTTCTAGTTGTTCCTGAAATATATTCTTCGCCCTGTTATCATTAAGTAAAACTCTAAGAGGTTTCCTTGCGGTGTATTTCCTACGTCCAGTAAGCCTCAAACAAATACGCGCTCGCACTAGAGCATGATCTGAATCTAAACATGTGCTCCAGAACGAGCGACAGTCCTCTATCGAACATCTCCATCGGTGGCTGATGGCGATGTGATCTAGTTGGGTCCAACGTTGAGAAGACTTTGGGGGTCGCCACGTCAACAGATGTTTTTCCCTATGCCTAAAATTAGTGTTTGCTAGAAATAGGTGGTTATCTGTGCATGGTTGCAGCAGACGGTCGCCATTGTCTGTTCTCTGAGCCGCGACACCATAACATCCACCTAGGTGTCTCTCCTGCTCACTTAGTCTACCTACCTGAGCATTAAAGTCACCAGCCATTATTACTATATCAGAGCGCCTAGCTTTTTGGAGGAGATCCGAAAGCTTTCTGTAAAATTCATCCTTAACCTCGTCTGAACTGCATTCAGTGGGGGCATAGGCAGATACGATGAAGAGGCAACGGCGATTGTCCCTATCTTTCCGAGTCTTTACTGTCCCGTTTAGTCGGACAGCGCACAATCGACTATCTATTGGGATCCAGTCAAGGAGAGATTGTTCAGCTCTACTACTCAATTCTATGCCTACACCAGCAAGACCCCTGGAAGCAGCATCAGGGCTACCGGATACACGAAGGGTAAATCGAGCTGCTTCTTTATTTTGACATGTTGTGGCCAAGTGTATGACGCGACTCGGATCCTGCATGCGCGTTTCCGAGACGCAGCATACATCGATGGCACGAGATTCTAAAGTCCTAGCTAAGGAAGCCTGTTGCCCTATTTGACACAATGTCCGTACATTAAAAGCTCCAACATGTAGTCTAGAGCGAGGTTTAAAGAGACCAGGAACGACGTTTCGCGAACTCGTATCGTCTGCATTAGCTATGCACTGTGATGAATGAAGGTGAGAAGAGTTAGTCGTGGAGATAAGAGAGGTACTAGGGGGTGTAGGAAGGATTTGATTTTGACCAATTCGGTCTCGCGTGCTGTTACGGGTATGAGGGCGGTTGTCAATTCCCGGCTGCCCACACCGTTGAAGGTTGTTTCTTGAGGAACCTGAAAAGAAAGATAGATTAGTGTTGGTGCGTGACCGCAGAGCTAAAGGGACAACTGCTTGAGGCCGGTCACGCACGGCCTTTTTATGAAATGTATTTTGAGGATTAGCTCCGTTCTTAAAGGCCCTTGGTGGGCACCCTTACCCAAGGAGACGGAAATCCGTGAGTTAGGGGAGGTGTGACATTTTTAGGGCCGACCTTTTCTAACCCTTCCTTCCTTGTGAGAAGGCAGCATCGCTGCAGATGCTGGTTGTCCGAGGGAAACACCTTACTGTTGTCACACCCCTGTGCAGTCAGCAGTACGACTTCGCCCTCAGACCTTGGGTAGCTGCTTTTAGTCTCATCGTTCTCCAATCGACCTGTCTGGCATGGTAGAACCTTGAGGAACATATGTTCCAGCCAGTATAGCTCGGTTGGGTGATCACGATAGGCAAGCCCGACCACCACGTCAAGGTAGCAGCTACGGTCGGGAGTAGTAGGACATATGTACCATAGCTCACAGCAAGATTATGACGGCTGATTAGTCTAGAAGCTTAAGCGTATCTTAATGAGCAACTTTAACATATTATCTTAGTATCAGTGTACATTTGTTTAAGTTCTTTAAAACACATATAGGCATCACTGTTAATCACTGTCACTGTAATAGAGATTTATCAAGTAAGTTCTTGTTGATATTTCTCATTTTTTAGAGTATACTGTTTACTTATTTAGAGAATCAAATTATTGGTAGGCAGGCAAAACTTGGTTATTAATGCTCTTTTTAAGGCGTTGCTTAACTCAAACAATCGTCCAATATGTAGGTTTCCAAAACACTAGATTTATCTTCAAGTGTCGTCTACAGTTTAAGTATAATACTGACTTCACAGTTCATAAAGTAGATAATGCATTTAACATCTACAGCCGGAGATACTGGGTTGAAACTTCGGTGTCAAAATCAACCTCAATCTAATGGGCCACAAATGTGAAGAAAAGCACTCTCTGGATTCTATTCAAAACCATAATCATTCCATTTTATTGAAACTTTTCACGATTATCATACCAAGACGAGAAAAAACGGAATTCCAACTGTGGAAGGAATCAGGAAGAAGCATTGTAAGTGGATAGGACACAGAGTGAGAAAAGCATCCAAGTGTATCAAAAGACAAGCCCTCACCTGGAATCCTAAAGGCGAAGGAAAAAGAGGAATTCCAAAGAACAAATTACGCTGAGAAATAAAGACAGGCATAAGAAGAATGAACAACAGTTGGATAGAACTAGAAAGGAAGGCCGATGATAGAGCAGGTTGGAGAGTGCTGATCGGCTGCCTCTGCCCTATTGGGGGCAACAGGCGTAAGTAAGTAAGTAACACTAAGACAATATGAGTAGAATGTAGATTCACCACTAGAGGCATCGAATCGGGTGTCTTAAACTGTTTCTATTAATGAGAAGGAAATTGCTGAATTAGCTTTTATCTAGGTTACTGGATACACTCAAAATGCTTGAGTTAGGCAACCTGTATTTTATGTTTCAGAGAATTTCTGGAAAAAAAATTAGGTCAGGAATATAACACACGGATTACACTTTCCATTCGGGGCCTCTTCATGCATTAATTCAACTTTCTGGTGTAACTTCGAATGATATTTACATTTGTCCACACAGGTCGCTGTTTTCGAATACAGAAACCTCCACGTAACTGATAACTATATCTAAGAAATAAAATGGCAAGATATATGTTGAAAAATAACCTCTCATGTTCGGTAGCGACCACAAATTCAAACATTCGATTCAGGGGAGATATAAATTTTGTTAACCTGTAATTCTCCTTAAGGGATCATGGCAAGTACTGTGAAAAAAATTCACCTTTACGGTTATCATTCAATTCAATAAGATAAAATGTGATGGTAAGAACAAAGATGGAATTATGCATTTTGTAACGGGGTATAATGACAGATTTAAAATAAGTATGGATGGTGGCTGTAGGTGAAATACAGGATGAACTTAGGCCTTCTTAGCTGGAAACACTTGTATCTCAATCTTCGTGTTTACACCAAACTTCAAAATTAGTACCGCTCGCTCTTACCTTGATATTATGGAGACAGTGTTGCCCGAAAGGCAAAATTATTGACGAGTCTTTGAGGATTTGAATTCATTGACAAGACCACTAGTTTGAAGAATAAATTTCTACTTAAAATAAATGAACACGGTTATATACAAACTAACAACAGAAAAGTAACATTAAACAATATCACACATGAGTGATCACTATAAATTCTGTAGGCTCCCCATTCTCCAAATACTTACATCTTAAGTGTTAGGATTTCTCGTTATATGAGTTGTTCGATTCGTTCAGCCTCAAAAGGTGCGTTACATTTGCATTTCGTTGCTACTCTGCGAATGTATAGCAGTTTTAGTATCCTCTGGAATTGAGACTCAGTCAAAATATTCATTTATTCTGTCTGATTTAAGTATTTAATTGATTTTAGGTTAAAAATTTCTTTAACTTTTCTAAACTGCAGTACACAATATTATAGCAATTAAGAAATTTTCCCAACACTAAACAATTATCATATATATAGAAAATAAGAAGAGTATACCTAATTCCGTCTACTGTGTATCTGACTAATTCTGTTTAATAAGCACATAGGTTATAATAAAAATTACATTAGCCAGTTAATAAGTAATAGACAATGATCTATTGTATAGATTTCACTACAGATCTAATCTTTTCATTCAAATTAAAAACTGGCCACTAAGTTAAATAACGTTGTTCAGTATGTATATAATTGATGGATTATGGCTAGAATTATTATGCAGAATGAGGGTTTCATCCCATCTTTGAACTTTCTGTCTTCCTAGTATTGATGTTTACATTGAGATTTGTTCATTTGGAACCTTTTCAGTCTATTTAATGTTGGACTTACGTTGATGTATGACATTTATCCCAGTTCTTCTAACTCCAGAAAATTCTACTAATTGTTTTAGACCTCTTAAAATGACATTGCAGATAAAATAACAGTTGGTATTTCAAACCAACTTGGCATAATATGAATGTGTTAATCCGTTTTACATTCAATAAAATACCGTCAGTATTAAAACTTCAGTTTATTAGCTAAAAGCTCACTAATATCCCGTTGGTAATATAGGGGATTTTAAATGGTTGTATATTTGGGAACGAATTAGTTGAAAATACTCAATATTTTGCTTACCAAATTATCCATGTTAGTCGTTTTCTGTCTATCAATTTCACTGTAGATGACAGTCTAAGTTATTATACATTAACCATACAGAAACGCCGTTTGTAGCTCGAAAAACCTAGCGATAATATTTTCAACAATCACAGTGGGTAGAACAGGCTAGATTACCGCTAGCAGACGGACAAAATCTAACACTAAATCTACCTTTAGGACTTCCCACTGACTACTTGCATCTACTTGACATAACTTTTAGAAATCGCTTCAGAAAACACTCAGATTTGAGTACATCTACTCTATACAAATTGTCTGAAATCAATTAGCAAAACTTATTCATTTTGATGTAGTTGTTTGTGTTTGTTGTTCCGATTTTCATTACTCTTGTTACCATCATTCATTTTTTATGTAACTATAGTAGTGTAATTTTTAGAGGAGGAGGATAAACGATTTGTGTTATTGATCTAAGGTTTCCATGGCTGATGATGGGCGTATTGAAATAAACCTTTTGGCTATATATATCTATATATATCATATGACTATATATACGAATACTGTTCATCATATATTGTGTTCGTTGATCAAGTAACAATTCATCTTGTCCTATCTAAAGAGTATATTTGAGTTATGTATTCATCCGACTGTAAACTGATAATTTTGAATAATTATAAAAATAATTTAACCGGTATTCATTCATTTAAAAAACATTTAGGTTTCAATTTTACATTTATTACTATAGTAGCAGAACAAATTTATCTTATCGCACTTTATTAATTTGGAAATATCACACATTGATTGGCAACATTTATTACAGAGTTTCAAATGAGCTTCGAATTAGTTTATGCATTTTTTGTAAATAAACAACAATAAATGAATTATTTCTGTCAATTATCATGAAAAGATAAATATTGATTGAGATTTGGTGTACATAGATAAACTTTCATCAGAGAAAGGATATATTCAGTGGGATATAATTTATTCTTCATAGTTTGCTGGTTAAAACAGATGATTTACCTACTGTTTACCTACTGTCAATCGTTGTTAGGTTAATCATTCGCAGTATAATCCTAAATCTTATCATATTTTTTGCACATTTGAAATCACCAACCAATCATTGTTAGACCACCATTAGAAACCTGGAATCACTGGACGACCGTTTCGTCCTGGTATGGGACTCATCAGCAATGCGCATCCACGACTCCTGCACCTCGCAGGATTCAAACCCAGAACCTTCGGTACTGCGCGCGAACGCCTAACCATCGGACCACTAGGCCGGCATCCAACGGTGTTAATGTCTAACTCTGATTGATCTAGAGATTTTGCGCGACCTCACTTATTTGTCTTAGGTAGTTACTGCCTACACCCGACAGGGCTGAACTCCATTGGTCACGTCTTCTCAGCTAGAATTCCGAGAATCGCCTCACGAAGCTAGTGACTAGTGAGCACCGTTATGATATTTTGGGGCAGAGTTTTGGAGGTTTGTGTTTTTTGCACATTTGAAATCATCAATCAATCGTTGTTAGACCACCATTAGAAACCTGGAAGCACTGAACAAATAATACATATTGCATGACAATCAATGCATCTAAATTCATATGTTTTTAAAGAAGACAGCATTTCAAAAGACTCTTTAAAATTACTTTTTAATTGTTGTTCTTCTTCGACAGCTGCTGTATTTTTTGTTTCATATAGGAGCATGTTCGTAATCGACACAAACGGATTGATACGTATTACTATTTGTTTAGATAAAGGGATACACTTTTCTGCCAAGGATATCCTACGAATGGTGAAAGAATTACAAGCCACAGATAAAGACGATGAGTCCAATATTTTAAAAAATTCGGAAATGACAAAAACAATATCCCCTGCAACCAATTAGTTACAAACAAATCAATGCGATGTTTTATGTTATTATGCATCTAGATAATTATCAATATTTACTATCACTGTGAAACTATCTATTCTGTAAATTTATGTTCATTTCAATAAGTTATAACTTTGTTTTCCATTTATATTGTTCCTTTGATAATTTGATATGTTGTAGTCTGTTCTATTAGTGCTTCGATTTGTTCATTTGTCTGTTTGTATTCACTCTTCAATGATAATTCTAAACGTAAATTAGATAGTAATTCTTTTGTTTGTGATGTGATATTTACTCTAACAGCTTGTGAAATATAACAATGCATTTTTCGAATTTTGTTCTTTGAAGTTTCTATATTGTTTACAAGTCATTTGCTTAATAACTATTTAAAATTTTGCTTCTCATTTTATACTACTTTAAGTGGTATAAAAAATTTCGAAAAATTGTTTGTTTAATCGTTGGTCATTATCATTTAAGTTAAAAAAGTTTTTAATCGATAAGTCTGGCTTTAAAGTCTTATGTACCACACATCATTTAAATGTGTTAACACTCAGAAACTTAGCAACTTATTCTGATGAGTAAATCTATATTTGTTTATCACAATGATATTAAACGAAACATGTACAACTGTACAATGCATCTATATCAATATAAGCTAAGAATAATTTTTAGTCAGTGTTCAAAGCATTCATATTCGGATAGAAACATTCAGGAGAATGGTATATATAAGGAGCTTACATTTTAAAATTTATTATTAAGTTAAAATATATTTCAAATTAATTTTCGATGTTGATATATTGACTGAAACTTGATCTATTTAGGTTCCCTCTTGGTAGTGGGTTCAAGTCTTGTAGTATCAACCCTGGATTTTAGATACATCCAGCTAACAAGTTTAAAATATAACGGAACACACATCCTGCATTCCACCGCTAGCTACACCTTATCGATTCTCAATTAAACCACTTATAATGAATATAATTGCAAGTTGTATAGATGACTGTCAAAGTCATCTTGAAGTACAATACAGTCAAGCGCTGATTATTTACCTGCATCCAATCAGTCACTTTTATGTACCTTATTTAATATAAGAATGAGAAAATCTGATCTTCAATAAAATATAATTTCTTTTTTATTGGGTACATCAAATAATTATAAGAAATTTGGTTCACTGGATACAAACACACTGTAATTTGTTCTGTCACAGTGACGAATCGACTAAGAGGTTTTTGTTTCCTGAACATTTCTCATCCTTCGTAATTTTATTTTTCCTCTGCTTCACAGGAAATTTTGCAAATTTGGAACATGTGCTAATTTATCAAGTAAGTATTTTAGTGCTGATTCGTCTATCTAATTAACTAAGCTCAGATATCAAACGGCTTCCATTTTATTACGAATTTTTATAAAAGTTAAGGCATGAAAGTGACTGGAATTTTGGATAAATTTCTCTTTTAGAAAAAAGTAAACCATTCTCGACTGAACTAATATCTTCACTAAGAGTTATGGAGATCAGTGTTTTTACACATGGAAATCACCAATCAATCATTTTTAGACCACTAGTGTTACAGATGTTAGGCGTTCGCGCCACTCCTGGTCATCAAATCACTAGGTCGCCATTCGAAGTTTTATATGTCTAACTGCAGTTGACTCGGGATATCAATTAACCCGAATGAGGACGAAGTATCTGTGTAGTGGATGCTACGCACAAGCGGCAGATAATTTGCATGTCGTGCAGCGTTGCCTAGATGTTGCAACCAGAGGCAGTAATTGAAAGAGATTGAAATTCCTAACGTGATCAGTGTAGTTTGAAGGCTAGCGGATGTATGAGAGAAGACAGTTTTTTTTATTTCTTGCTGTTCTTCTTTTATAACAACACTGTTGTAACTCATCAATTGTCTGGTGACTCTGGCAAACTCTGTGATATTCGTTGATTGTGCTACTTTCACTAACTATAGCTATTGAGCTATAACCATCAAAACATCACCAGGGAAGTTTGAACCTAACTGTGGTCTTTTGACTTTCCATCGAGTATAAGAAATGCACATTGAAGTAAGTTTTTAAGCATAGATGTCTACACAAACGGATCTTCTGCCCATGCGAAATTCACGGTCATCAACTTCTCTAGTACTGTGTACCTATCATCTAGGCTGTCAAACATCGTCAGCAGCTATGAAGCCACGACTTTCTGAGAAGCCTTTTGCTCGGCAAAATCTATGCTTCTTGAAATCAACCTCCGCTTGACCCCGCCGCAGAGTTTTCGGAGTATTCAGCTTCACCTTCTTCCAGTGCACAATGACAAGCGTCGCTGTGTTCTCGAACTGACGTGCTAAATATATATTCCAATTTCAAATCATCGTAAAACAAAGGATTACAACAGTTAAATATTGAAGAATCTTGCAAGATTGGATATTAAACTGAGACTCTGTTCATTAGAATACATATATAATATAAACTGATTGATAATATTTTCAAGTAGGATGTAATAAAAAGGGATTTTTATTCTCCTACCATTTTTCTATATTATATAAATGAATAAGACTTAGCCCTACCATTGTTCTTCTTAGCATACAGTTATAAATTTCATACTTACCTCTTATTCATGTGAATAATTTGTTTGTTTTAAATTTATAAACTTAACTAATATTCAAAACTGAAAATTTCTATAACTTGTGTAAGAAATAAAATTACAAGTCTTTATTTAACTAAGAATAATTTCTGACCATCTCTATGATTAATGATTAATTGTTCATTCATATTTACAAATTGTGATTTTTGTTTTGTTTTCATGTCTTGAAATTCAAACTTTAAATCATTTTTTTAATTATTAAAAGTAGTAGAATTTTTAAAAAGTTCATTTTTCTTAAAACAATATTTCAATGTGCACAATATGCAAAATAATTTTTTTCAGTTCAATTTAAGTTTAAAGAATAAAATTATATTTTCTTTAAATATTACCTACCCTAAATTGGAATATTTGAAATTAATTTAAGAGTTCATAGTTTGAAAACATACATGTCGGTATGATGAGCACTATATATATATATTAACATATTCAGTCAGTTGAACTAAACAAGGTCTAAATTTTGAAGAGAAAAAATAGTGATTTACGTTCTTACTGAACAGATCAATTGTAGCTAGAAGTGGAGACTAAAATTGCTTCATTATCATTGAGATACGTCAGCTAGGTGTATCTACTACTTCCCATTGTCGATGTCCACATCAAGACTTCCACTTGAAACCTCCAATACGCTGTCCACTTAGCTACTAAGTCTAGATAATGAGTAGTTTGTACTGGTTTGTCATGTCATTACTAATGAAATTTGAATGATCGACTTGTCGATTCAAAGTTTACCACTACTAATATTCTTAATAATAGTAGTATTGTTCTGGTTATTGGAAATTTTAATGTTGTACATTCTCTGCATGAGTTCGAAATTTGAAATAAATCGATAATATAGTCAGAAAAGATAATATATTATTGTTATTAGTATTTCTCACTATGAAATACATGTTAAAGTTATCCATTTAAGTCTAACATAAATTCCATTTGTACTATTCCAACGTTTCTGCCTATATCTTTTAGTACTTAGTTGTGAGCGCTTTTTTAAAGGCACAAATGTAGGTTATGAGATTACTCTTCACATTAATCCCATATTGCAGTGAATAGCAATTTTACATAGAAAATTATATTACACAGCTTGAAAATTGTTTTGATTAGTCTACTGGATATAAAGATTAGTTATACACGTTAAACTATTCACCATCAAAGTGATTATGAATTTTGACAATTATTTAAACAGAACCCAGTACAATTCGATTCAGATATCAAAGAGTTATCTACTTAGCTATTGAGTGAAACGGGTATAAATTTTTCTTAAATTTGTAATGGTTTAACCGATACTTTATCAGACTTAGTTGGTATAAATCAGTAGTTTAAAGAGAAAAAATAACTAAATAAGTTCACAAAATTAGAGTAGTATATCTTATATTTTAAAATTTTTAACCTGCCTGCGCCTGTTACGCCTAATGGAGCATAAGCTACCGATCAGCACTCTCCATCCTATTCTGTCATGCGCTTCCCTTTCCAGTTCTGTCCAATTTTTGTTCATTACTCTCATATCTTTCTCTATTTCTCAGTGTAATGTGTTTCTTTGCCTTCCTCTTTTCTTTTTGCCTTGAGGGTTCCATGTGAGGGCTTGTCTTGTGACACAGTTGGTTGCTTTCCGCAGTATGTGCTCAATCCACTTCCAGCGCTTCTTCCTGATTTCCTCTTCCTTATGGAATCTGATTTGTTCTTTCCCACAGTAGTCTGTTGCTGATGGTGTCTGGCCACTTATGATCATTTGAATTTTGTGTATCAGTATCGGTTAGTATGTTTTCACAATATTCTAGAAATATGAGAACTGCATTAAACTTCTATACAATAAAGCTTGAAATTTAGATTTTTTTAAGGACACTACTTTCATTCAATATAGTACATGTTATTTATTTTTAAGTGTGTATCAATTCAACTATACAACCTCCTAGTGAATACATCTAACTGTATCAATTGGCGGCAATTTTCACTCCTAATTATTATCAGGTGAACGAATAAACATGAAAAGCTTAAAATCAATAAACATCACTTATGCTTTAGTCTAAGATTCATCGTCCATGTCAAATCAGAGCTACACAAACAATTAAGTTGGTAGCAGAACGATACAGTCAACCATCTGTAAAGAAATGAACTAGTATACAATTGTAACTACAGTCATCCTATCATATACCGATTTCATTGGTGAATTTCTGTTTACTTCTGTTTGTAATGACTTAACATGCCTAATCATACAAAACTTTTACAGAACAATTTGTGTTTTTATTAACTATTTGCTCATTAGCAATTTGTTTTGAAAAGGATTTTCTTGGAAATTTATTGGGGTCTTATAGTAACTCAATTATTATACGGTAATATTAAGCATGAAGTCTCTCGATTTGATTATAATTAAGTTACAATTGCTGTAGTGACTCCACTTTTATGAAGAGAACGCGATTGGTTCAATAGAAACATTGTTTTATTGTACTCTTTTTTATTCCACTCTGTACGCTCAAACTTTCCGTTTGTGTTGCTGCCATTTTCGCTCCACTGCTCGCCCC